AATGTAAATAGTGCGTTCATGGGCTGTCAAAACTTAAAGTTTACAAGTTTCGTAGTGAAAATGCATGAAATATGTCGAGATTAGGGAGCCGAGAATTGGACGACGAATATCCGACATTTGGAATTTTCGATGTTATGACGAAAAAATGGAAAAAAATAATACATTTTTGGAAATTACTATCTTTTGAGAAACGTGAAATGAAGCACAATTAAATTCTGCATCGAATTGTGTATAAAGTGATATTTTTTCATGAAATCAAAAATGTTAAATATTAAATTGAAGTTGAAAATTCAAACAAATAGTCCGACATTTGGGCGAGTGTCCATATAGTCAACTAATTTGTTCGTTAGTGAAAACAAAAGAATTGCAATTTTATAAATTGAGTTATATGCATTGTTGCATGCAAATGAGGGTTACGTCCAGCAAAAGTCGTCCACAGAAAAGAAGACAACAAGAAAGCCATATTTTCAATGCCGTACTTTTGAGTGTTGTTCATTTTGAGTTTCATTCAGGATAATATGGGAATTGGTATGTATATGGCATCATAAGCAGCCTGTCAACAAATTAACATTTTGCGTGATTTATATCCGAAAATCAACGAACGATCATTATGATAGCATGAGGCAATACTGCAATTTTCTTCTTTCAAACATTCACGATCTCATGTATAATATACATTGTGTGTGAATCATATTTTGAATATCGATACGATCTCGAGTATTTTCAGTAATTACTCTTGCATTGTTCGTTGTCACATATCAGAAAAAAGAGATCACAGTGTTCCGACTTGTTTTTGAACGGATTTTTTTCGTTTATCCTTGGTTTTGAAATCGTTCAAAACGACAACAGTTCATATTTCGTCTGGCAGCCAACTGGTAGATCAATCACATAATATCAATAAGACCATGCATTATATCAGCGTACGGTAATTGCTGACCCTGAAATGCTCATATGACAAATCGAACAAAGCACTCTACTCCTTTCACTCTTTCTCCCTCTCTATCTTTGGACGACACTAAAAAAAATTGTCATCAAAAAATCAAAATATACGCCTTGTATTTACCAACTGTTGGCAGCCGGTAAGCCATCGGAGTGCATAGTATGATCTAGGAACCGTTTTGCGGTTGTTGTTTTCATCGATGTATATATACTTTTTTTTCCTTCTTTCGATTGTAATTATGAAAAAAGCCTGTAATTAGAAAGCAATTGCTGTACGATGACAAAGACCGTTCGCCAACGCTTTGGCTTTTTTATTCGGTATTTTTACGTTAACGCGCTGAATGCATCTGTTGCTCATTTCACGTCATTTTAATTTAAAGCTATAAATGACACTGTTTTTCTCTCCATTCAGCATTTACAAAAACATATTTTGTGTATGCACACACATCGAAATTCAAATGTTTTTCGTTTATCTTGATGGCAATGTAAGTAGTAATTTTGGGTTTTTTGTTAATTGAAAACACAGGCATTCGAAATGCAAAACCTAAGGGCATAAATTCACCAGGAACGAAAAGACACGAAATCGTGAACATTCACTTAGTGTTCACTTATTTGCTTTGCATCGATTGAGTGATTTTTGTCAGGCATATGGTTGTTACTTGTGAATGGTAGAATCATAAATTGACAGATGAAACTCGAAAAACGTATTTTGTCATTCAGTCGAACAATTGAATTAAATGAATCACACACGCATTACCAAATATTCGTAAAAAGAAATGCATTACAAACAAATGAAGGATTTAAATATGTCGTGTTATTTCGAGCATATTTTTTTGTTCGATTAAATGAACAAGCCACAATGAGTTTTTTAACCGAGTTTTTGGTCTTTTTTATTTCGAACATTTTTGGTGTTGGGAATCGCACAAATCATCGATTATTTATAGATTACTAAAATGAAGAAAAAAAACCACAGCTGACAGATGACGAAACCGTTAAGCTTCCGTCATACAAGACAAAAAACACTTCTGTTTCAAACAAGAGAAAAGAACATTCTTCACACTTTCAATTGATTTTAATTAATCACCAAATTGATCAATAAAAATTCGATTTTCGATACACAAAAAAACTTGAGCACATATGGTCCTGTGGAGAATACCTTGTTCAAAATTAAGCGAATCTTCAACAGAAGCCATTACCATCATCAACATGAAACTATCAATTATAAAACAAACAATTGGGGTAGAATCAACGTGCAAATTGCATCAAATTTTTTGAAAAATGAACATTTTCGAGTGAATTTGCCTATATTTTCGTGTAATTCTTTTCATTTTTTACCATTTTCCCTGAAAAGTATCGAAAAATCATCACATGCGGCTATCTAAGATCGACTTTAATGCATTTCGATACAATGATTAATGTTGTCAATCAGCGATCAAATGCGATAGCGCCAAAGGGTCATATTGTGCCGCGACGATTTGGGTGTCAAATGTTTCTTAATGGTTTGTTTAAAGTAATAAAAAATTGTCGTTGAAACTGAGGCTGTCGAAGCATTACGATCAATCGACTAGAACAACAGAGCCGCAGTGTCTCCGAACAAATCAATAAAAATCGTCAAATCCAAATAAAGTCACACATGTATAAAATAAGTCAATTCGATTGTATAGTAATCGGGCGAGATTTGGTGTTGGAAAACATGTTCTAAAGCGTTGATAAGCAATTACCATTCTTAAGTATCAACAAAATCAATTTTAACATTTTTCTCATTTTGGACGATGTTGTTCGCTCTAGATGCATATAGTTTCCTGTTTCGATTGTATCGTTCTTTTATCTTGAGCGGCGGCTTTCGAAACAAGATATCGACTGAAGTTTTTGAACAACTATATAAATGCAACAAAAAATTACTCATTAACATTTGACAAGATTGAGCGGTCTGAAGCAAGCCATTTTCAGTTGGGTCACTCGATGTGTGGCTTTTGATGTCTTTCTTTTCCGCGTCACCACTATTACCACACAGAACAACGGGTTTGGATGGGTTTTTTAATTTGCCGACATGCACAGCGCAGAAAAAAAAATTGATTTTGAATTTTTCATTAATCAATTGAACAAGAGAGAGAGATAAAAGACGCAAATCATACACAACAATTATTATTTCAATTACAGTCTGGAAATTGGTTGTTTAAATGAAAATACAAAAGGAGGATTTCCATTGAAAAATTAAAGTTGCAATTCAAGTGGTTGCCTTCGAGATCTAAACGAATATTAAACGCGTCACAATGAGTTTGTCTATTTGAAGGTTTTTTTTTTGTGTTGTCTCGTCGAAGCCTTTAATTTTCAAATCAAGACGTACAAACGAACCAATTTTAGTCCGACTATTGATTAGTACGTTTGAGGACACGATAGACAACAGAGAAAAAATGCCGCACGGTTATTTTTCAACGAATCAATTTTCGAATTGTGTTAAGAGAACAAAAAAATCAGATTTCATTTCATTATAACAAAAGAAAATGTATAAAAACAAAGATTAACTCGAAAGTTTATCTCATCGAATACATCAGATTGATTCCGGCGCACATATAGTATATACATATGATTTTCCGCTCTCGCATCAATCGTATCTTTAACCAGAGGTGTGGCAAACGGCATCATTAAAAAAACACACAACTCAAAGAAAACGCCGCAAAATCAACAAAAAAGAAACACCATCATTCACCTTCTCTCTCTCCCTCTCTCTTTCTCTCGCATCCACCGAATCCAGCATAATCATTCAAATTAATATTTTTTCATTTTGCTGTATCTTCTGCGCTCTCTGTCCACCAACCCATTATCTTCTTTTTTTCCTCATTCGAATTTTGTCAGTGGGAAAAAATATGGACAAAAATGTATTTGAATGGCCAAAACGAGACGAATGAATGAACCGAATTTCAAATTACGACATTTTAACGATAAAAGACGACACATTAAACAGGATGAAAACGTTCAAATGGATACATAATTTGAATTTGATTGTGTGAATATATCGATATAATTGTGCAATTTAAAAGATATTCTTCTCTTTCGTTGGTTGTCGTTTCGTCTAAAGTGGATTCTAAATAAGATTATTTGACAAACGCACATACTCATATACTCACATTTATTCACATACAATCGAGTGTATTTATATTCAGCTTGTAATTATGATTAATATTTTGTGGTTTGGGTGTGTGTTTCAGTTTTGTATCGCATTGTTTGCACTTTGTCACGGTATACCATTGATAAACAATGTCGTAGATATTGATTTTCTTACCATAATTGCTATCTCATCATCACTATTATTTGGATCTTTTGTACAAGGTGCTTTATGTAGTATGCACCCGATTTTGAAAATTCCACACCGTTTTACAGATAAAATCTCGAAAAATGCAATTTAATGAAATTTTTCACACTCTAATATTTTTCTATTGATTCCAAACTCGAGTCTATTGTACTGGCAATCAAGCGGAACGAGGACTGGATAAAAGCCAATGATGAGCGACACCCATATGAATTTACAATTTTTTTGTTAATTTTCAATGTAATTTAGATGAGTTTTAATTAGTTTTGCTTGAAGGAAACTTGAGTTCGGCGAATCTATTTCTTAGATTTGGCAAATATTCCTTTCTTTCCATTTGAAAATTCAATCAATTTCAGTCTTTTGCTAAATTTAAAGCTACAAAAATGATTTTATTTGTTTTCTCTTCATTTTTTGGCCTTCAAACTCACCTTTTATTTCCTCAGACTAAACTGCAGTTTCACTTCAATTATTTTGATTTTCTCCGAATGTGCCTTACCCGTACTTTCTATCATCGTTCAACACCATTTTCTTTCTTTCGAAAACAATTTCAATTTAAAACAAACAAAAAATGGTCTTGTTTATTTTCGAGCATTCAGTCGATTTTCTCCACTTGATTTTCTTGGCGATAATTGGAAAACAATCGACCGAAATAACATCGTCGATGGAAAGGTACTTTGAATTTCGAATAAATACAATGACTACCGTAAAAAGAACGAAAAGTATGTACAAAATAAATAAAAAACGAACCAAATCAAATCATTCATCGTTTGTTTTTACGTCAATTTATTTATGCATTTGTGTTCATCGTATCAACGAGTTGAACGGATCATACCATATACAATCTCAAATGAATTATTTGATTTTATTTATTTAACAATGAAAGGAGTGAAAAAAAAGAACTCAGTCAAAATCAATTACAACAATTTTTATATCGAATTGTTTAAATGAAACGATGTTTCCGTTAACAAGAAAACGTTTTTGTTTATGCGATTGTTGGTTTTGGTTGTGATTAATTTCGGTTGGTTAGTTCTTTCGTTTTTTCATCGGCGGTAAGCCACTGTCGAATTCCGATGTTGATAAACTAATTGATTTGGATACGAATTTGCCGAGACCGGTCATAGTCGTTGACGGTCGTTTCATTCCATTCTTTTTCACAGTTTTTGAATCAGTTACTCGTTCCGATTTTTTCGTTGTCGATCTAGATGGAAACAAAAGAAGAACAAACAGGAAATTGAAATTTCATCTTGTTAAATAGATCGTTTTGTGATTTCAAGTTATGTTGCTTAATTACCTGTCCGTATAGGTTAATCGATTCTGTGGCAACGGTGCCTTCGGTTTGCTAAACTCTTTCGTAAATGATTTTGGTGGTTCGCGCAATGCAAGCGACTTTGCGTAATGACCCATGTGTGTGTTTTTCACATTGAAAATGTGTCGCAAATCTTTTGGAAACGATGATATATAACGTAACCATGACACGAATGCTGTTAATGAGAATAAAAAAAAAAACGGAAATTATGCTTTCGTTTTAATAAATTTAATAGAATTAATGTTGTGTTTTTGGTAGCAATTTGGTGACTGAAAACATAACAAAAAATTATAACGTTCATTTGAGAGAGACACGGCTGGGATAGAGAAAAGAGAGCGAAAGTCTGTGTTTTTGAGGAAAAAAAAAGAGGAACAAGTCAATCATCCGAGTAACACGATGATGAAAAATAGTGTTTCACAGCCTTCTGTATTCACACCGTCAACAATGAGACGGTTTGTTGATATATATTTTGGAAAATGTTGTTTCCATTGCCTCAATCTATCATCAGTTGTGCGTGCTTCGAGCCAGCACAGTGTATATCGCATTTGAATCGACCGAAAGAGTAAAGAAGAAGAATATTCACCAATTATTTTATTTAAAAAGAAAATAAAAGACAATCTTCCAAGGTGTTGTTCACTTTCTCGCCATGTACACAATGTTGCATCTTCAAATGCACACAAAACACAAGAGGGAGTGTATAACTAAAACAATTGACTTTATTATCGTAACTGAGTATTTCCATTTGGAATGAACGAAAGAATAAAAAAAAAGAAGAAATAAAATCGGAAATTCAAGAAGGACGTAATATAATTATTGGTTTGCATTTATATTGTGAATGAAATGCATCAACAGATGCTCTCACCATTGTAGTCCGAGCACTTGGCGCAATCCGAAGACAAAATGAGACTATAAATGCGACGAGAGCACATCAAAAGACGCGGCAATCATCATAACACATTTGTATAAACGGACAATCACATGACAGAATGACGACCAACACCAAGTCCAAAGCAGCCCGATCAAATGACATTATTTTTTACACAAGAGAAAACCATTAAAAACAACTTAAAAACCAATAATGATTTTTCTATTTTTTTTATTTACGTCCGGCCGGGTTTTTTCTCGTCGAAACTAGTATCAAACGTTTGGAATATTAATACTTGCACCTTTTTTGGCACCATTCGATCAATTACTACTCATGCTCACACCAATTGAAAAGAAATACAAATTGACATTATTTAATGGTTACTAAAATGATGAATGCGACAAATGACACACACCGCAGTCGATTCGACAGAGTCAAAGACGTTTGGCAATTAGACCGAAGAAAAGAAAACCCGTATTTAAAAACAACACACGCACCAATCGAGCTCAAATTTAATCGAAACAACTGAATATCTCATTAGTTTTTGGGTGTTATTCGCGATGCTGTCAAACGGAACAAAACTCAATGACACTAAAGCAATAATTGCCAGAAAAACTGTACATGCTCAAAATTGAATTCCAACAAATTGCTATCATTACACACGAATACGTTCTTCAGTCGCGACTTCTATTTTAGTCTTGTCTTCGAGTTCTCAATTGTAATTATTTTTTTTTTTTTTTCGATAATTATTATAATTGAACTGTGGCATTCAGTGAACATTCAGACGCTCGGTGACTCAATGGCTACGCATTGATGAATTCATGAGACCAGAGGGTAAAAAAAATCGAAAAAGTGACTGAATTATAATCATCAAACAAATTAAAAACCAATAACTGATATTGAGACAAAGTTTTTATTAAAAAATGCCATCCAATTGAGATTGGAGTGTTAAGACTCTTTGAATCTCGGTTTTTATCATTGATATTATAAATCAAAAAGTGATTCCAATTAAGTCATTTATAGACTGATTCGATTCAATTAAATGCGTCACGATTGAATGTCAAACCAATGACAAAATTCCTCAAACTGTAATTATCTCTTTGATTTTGATCGACATCAAATTCATATAACCTTAATAGATATGTTTAAAAACCAATAATGATCGACAGAAATTATAACTATTGAATAAATTTAGAACATTTTGTCTGCACGAGTCAATGTGAATATTGATTTTTGAGACAAAGTTTTTTACACTTGTAAGAAAACTAACGGAAAACTACAAAAAGAACAACAATTTCAAAAGCTACAAAACAATTTAAAAAATGTTTTATGACTTCATGCTGATTCTTCGAATCCTTGTTGTGAGGTAGCTAGACCAATTAAATTTTAATAAAAATGTTTTGCAAGGTTGAATTCCAATGCCGAAAGGGATCCGAGTGCTGCTGTGCCGGCGATTAGAATCGTTTTGATGTGATTTGGTTGTGCAAATGGCATACCATTAATTCGCGATTCGTTTTTTCTTTCCTCTAACTCACGTGCAATCATTAAGTAATAAAATCGGTTTGAACGAGAAAAACGAAAACAATCGCAAAAACGTTGTTTAACTGTTTACATATGTTCTCGCGGTTGCTACTTGATAATTACAACGTTCATCGGGGATTTATTTTAATAGTTTCGGTCTAATGGCGCTTTGCGAGACCTTTTTGCATTAAAACGATTCAGAGAAATCCTTTGGAAATGACGATTGCCGTCCCGAATTCTTTCGTTGATGCAAAAATTTAATTGGACTTTAATTATGATTATAAAAAAACGGGTAATTTCTATCTTCCTCAGCCTAGGGTAAAATCGGAACAGCAGCTCTCTTTCATTGAAAACTAAAAAAAAACTGTATACATTTGGTGCGATTCATTTCATCACAAAAAGGGATCTAAATGATAGAAATGAATCCTATTATTGTGAACGATGAAATCATGTTTGATGCCAATGCTATTCGCAGAAGAACAAAATACCAATCGAAATGAAAAAAGAAGCGCGTTGAAGCGTAAATACGATTGTTATTTCTCGTTCGTGCAGGGAAATGTATGAGCTCATTTTCAGACTTGATTCCATTGTAATGAGTATCTCTTAGCCACACAAATTGGCTTCGAATAAATGAAAGATTTCCGCTCGAAACCCTACAGTTAGAACAAAGATCCGTGTGCATTTATGTAAAACGGTAGCCAAATCGAATACGAAAATGAGCAATATTTTTCGATTTATCTCAAAACTCGATTTTTATATCATTATTCGAAACATAAAAGCCAATTTCCATCAAATGAATCGTTGTAGCCTCCGAAAATCGAACTGCTTTTGTTTTGTTGTCGAGAAACAAATGAAATGCCATATTTGAATGTATATACATGGACTTTCGGTCGGTGATGAAAAAAAAACAGAATGATGTGGATAATTAAATCAGAGTAACGAACCGTTAATGTAATATCGTTAGCCAATTTCGAGTATTTTTCTTGCATGTTACGAAAATACATAGAACATTAGCCGATTTAATTTGCCAACAAGTTTCCAAAAAAAAGTACCAAGAGTTTTCTCTTGATGCTGCTGCTGCCTTTGTGCATATGCAGAGAGAGAAAAGGGGCGCGTGCACGACCAACCGAATGTTTCGTTTTACCAATTGTTTTCGTTTTTCTTGACTATTGCCATAATATAGTAGTAATGCTGAGAGTAATGCATTGGGTTGGTCCATTTCCAAATGTGAAATCGCATTGATCACAATATCAAAATATTCAATAAATCAGCTGGGGGTTCCTGCTTTTACGCTTTCTTTCTTCATATCTCCGGAAGATAATTTGGCAATTATTAAGGTTTGCCACAGGCAAAAAAAAACAAAAATCGTTTTATTAGTGAACATAAACAAATTTATCCTGCAGTAAAATGTCACATGTCGATTTCATTTCATACAAACACATCAATGCGCCAATGAACATATTTGAAAAAACACACTCACACACACGAGCAATTAATGCACATTTTCGGCCACTGAGTGACGACAATAATTGCCATTGTTATAACGAATTATATCGCCTGACTGAAATCATTGAACACGAACACGCATCGCATGAGATTCGCCATTCAGCCATTAATATTAAAATATTTATTTTGCCACGCACAGATGAAACAACAAAAATTATAACGCCAACCAAATGAGGAGAGGAACGACAAAAAAATATGTGAAAAGAATCATAATTCGTGCTTTCGAACTAACGAAGTGCAAAATTTAAATGAGCCCAAACAATGGCCAACCAATTTGAATTTTGGTTTCAGGCTATTTAAATGACACAGCTCCTTCATTTGCCGAAGGAACAGTGAGAAAAATTTTCAATAAGAGAAGAGCTAGTTTAACAAATGAAAGAAAATTAATTTTTAACACTTTGCGCTCGGAATAAGTAAGTCTTTTTTTTCGGATCTATCCACGGACGGGTGTATTTTAAGTAAAATTTGAAATAATTGAATTGAAATTCCCGTCGACAATGTCGTAAACAATCCATTTGAACAAATTGTCAATTCAGCAATTATCGACATTAAACATATTGGCATGATGAGTGCAATGCATTTTCAAATCTATTAAATCATTCGTATTTCCCATGGAAATGTTGTCACATTGTGTGCTGTCCATTTCAACAATTCATATTGATTATGTCCAAGTGGTAAATAACTAAAATCGACACTCAACAAATTACATTCAACCATGTTTGATTCAATTTCGCTGAAGCGTATGAAATGAGGGTGAAAACAATCAGCAAAAACTACTACACTGCACAACTATTCAATCGGTCGAGCGTTAAGTTTACGCTGTAAACATCGAACGAATGCCGGAAAGATTTATTAGGTACACGCGTGCAGTGTATGACACTCCAATGCAGTCACATTTATATAGTGCACTCAATGCAGTTGGTAAATATTCAATTGATGCGTCGTCGTGTAAGGTTTAGCAGGAGGTAACTCGATTTATACCAATAGACAGACTCATTCAACTATGGCCATCGTGTGTTATATGCGATTATTTTTAAAAAGTTTCAACGTGGTAGACGAAATTATTTAGCTAATGTCTGAATATTTCGCTAAACCCCGACACCATACATCGTATTTCCGTAGCATAAAAATCACAATTCAAACAATGAATTGCTAGACTGTTTCATTTTCGTATTGATTCAATTCGATATATTCAAAAGTGTACTTGAACTGTTTTTCTCTCGAAAGCCAAATTCAATAACAAAGATTCTATATAAAAAATGTATTTTTTTTCTCGAAGAAAAAAACATTCGAAATAGTAACAAAGAGTCGTGTGACTAAACGAATAAAAATGTGAAAGCTTAAGTGAGCGCGTCGTCCAGCACACAATGGGCAAAAAAAGGGGGAAAATACTAAGTGAGATGCAATTAGTTCGCATTTAATTGTACTTGATATCTGAAATTGTAATTTCTTTTTGTATTTGTTGCGTGCAGTGTTCATTGCGTTGAGCATTTTATATTCACTTATGGTTTTGCCAGAACGGAAGAGAGCGAAAGCGACCACACAAAGAATGCACAACCGCAACACAAATGTGCGTTCCACTCATTCGCAAACACAGTGATGTGCTTATAGCGCGCGATTTGCTGGTTGTGGTGGTTGAAGTGGTTGGCGAAATGGCAAATAAATAGAAACACGAAAGGAAAATATTATTGCAAGAAAACAGCAAACCACTTGAGCCAAGTAGCGTTGCTGTGTTTGCCACTACTACATTCAAGTGGTAATGTAATGAGTGTCCTTTTAACGCCGTCGAGTGGTTATTTTTTTGCATTGCATTGTTTTCGCATTAAAATTCAATTTCCCATCGAAGTGCACATTCGTTGTGTGTGCTGCACATTCGCATTTGTTCCAGCCATCCGCGTTGTTAGGTTGCGTTTTTTTTTATTTGTTCGTTTGTTCATTTGGCTTGTTTTAGTTAATTGTAACAAAAGTGAAGCGCATGCATTGCGCCTAAAATTCCAATCCGTTTTGTTCATTTTGTTCTCGTTTTGCATGCGAATTAGTTCGTCCAATTCATAAGGCCACGGGAAAAAAAATGAAACATTATAAAATAAAGAGAAATGATCGTTAAAAGAGCAAAATGTGTATTGTTTTCAAGGATATTTTCTCTTAATTACATGCTTGGCATTTTGTTACTGAACAAAAAAACAATAGCAGCAACATCGTCAAATTATGGGAGCATTTGCTATGCACACATTTGTAGCAATTGTTCAATTTGGATTGTTTTGTTGTTTGAAAAGTGGAACAAATGAATGCGCTTATCGTCACCACTTCACCAAATTCAAAAACACACACAAAGAGAGAGAGAGCAGGAAAAATCAAATCGGAAAATGTACAATTTTGCCTAACAATGAATATGGAAATGGTCCACTAGCGACACAAATTTTTGTTGATTTATTGCAGAAAAATTATGAGAAGAGGGAGAGAGAGAGAGAGTAGAAATGAAAAACGAACGATTGAAATGAGCGTTGGCTGAATAATAAAAAAAGAGGGGGAAATGAGTTAAGTGAATATTAGTCGATGGTTTTGTATTTGCTGGGCGGTTCTGTGAGAGAAAAGCCAACGAATCCATAATGTACGCTAATGTCGTTCCACACCGATGTCGATATCGATGATAATTCAAGTCGAACAAATGGAAGTTCGCCGTATGCCTCCAGGGGTTACCATTAAAGACCATTAGACAAAAAACGGCCAGAAAAATAGCGGGGCGAGAGAGAGAGCTGGATTGAAGAAAAAAAGGTTCAAGCACTTAAGGAAGTCAAGTAGTCACGTGTAATAAATGTTACAAATCGCTTTCATGTGAACAACAATCGAAATATGCTTATTCTGTTTGAAGTTTTATGGACTGTTTTAGATTCGCTGTTCATTTGCGTCGGTGATTATGCTCGGACTGCGTTTTCCATGTGACTTTTTTTTTAATTCACGATTACCGAACAATTATTATGCAAACATTATAGAGAAAAAACGCGAATCCAAAACAAATGTCATGCCCAACACAAATAAACGGTAATTTGAAAAAACCCTCTCAAGAAACGCTCGTTTTGTGAACAATATTAATTGTAACTTTTCGCCGCAAAATAATAATAATGGTTAATTATGAATTAGGCAATTTTATTGGTTACAAAGGCACACACACCATTCGGCGTGCTGAGCAAACGATGAGAAAATTGAAAACGAATGACGTTTTTCCTTCACTATCCTTAAAATAGGCATACGGCACCATTATCCATACTACTAGTACATAATAAGATAATCGGTAATCATTCAGGAGCAATAAATCAAACAGTCGTCACCGCTTTTACCTTTTAGCCGTATAAAATAGATGGGAAAGTATACAATTTGCTTCCCTGTTGTTATTTCTAAAGAAAGTTCAAGTATTTTATGTATATAATTCGAATGCGATGCTAATGTTCCAAAATTGGCCAGTTTGGATGATTAAAAGTTTCCATTATATATATTTTTTTCTTCTTTCTTGACATCGACGTTCAAATAAAATCTAATAAATTATGAATTTGTCGTTGACGTAAAAGGAGAGAATCAATTAATTATTCATTCCGCGATCAAGTTGGGCACTCATAAGAAAAATTCAATAAATATATTTTTTTCCTCTCGTCAGAGGCAGAAATGCGGGATTAAATCGAAGAGGCGGTAACACACATCACAAACTGTTTTGAACACAAACACTGACATAAAATGTCTTGCCTTCACCTACGTTTCGAGGAAATGACATTTTAATCGTCATTTAAGACAGCAAATGACAGAAAATGGGCGGCGAATCGAATTCGATTGTATATATCGATAAATTATTTCTTAACTCACTGCGTTGAGCGCACGGCACACCGAACTGGTTAAAAGCAACTTTTCAAAGTTTCACAATAAACGACACAAATTAAATTCGAATTGACGAAATCGACTTTATTCGAAATTACACTGTTTTTGGTACGAACAAATGTTCGATTGTGAGATATGGTTTGATGTAGTGGTCGTGCCGTTTATGCGTACAAAAAAGGTAAAATAATTAAAAGCCAGACTGAAATATCATGTTAATTAAATCCACCGATGTGTTTCTCTCTCTCTCTCTCTCTCTCTCTCTCTTCTATCGTTGGAACGCTCTTTTGAAAAAGTTTGTTTCGTTAAACTTGAGTTTTGATGACCAAAAATATGGTCATGCTTAACGACATAGAGAACGAGAGATTTATGATGAAATTATACCGTGCGCAATGTAAATCACGGAAGTTTTTCTTTATCCGTTGTGCAAGAATGTTTGTGATTGAAATTTCGACTATAATTGAATGAGTAATATGTGCACAATTTTTAGCCAAATTGAAAGCAGAAAACCACGAAGTAATATTCTAAACGGGGGAATTTGAGAGGGTAAACGCGATGATACAAAGAAACATTGAAACCTACGAAAGTTATTTTTATACTTGGAAACGCACACACGATTCACATACGGTTTTAACTCGATTTCAAAAGACGATAGAAGACACCCAGAATGTGAAATATTGGCGTTGAATGTGGCATTTAGATCGTTTTCAAAATGTGTTTTACTTCGTTGCGTTTCGGGTTTTTTTTCTGTGAGTGAGTGAGTATGTGCACATAAAGTTCGTAATAAACCAATTACGTTTTAACGGTAATCCAATTTACCAACAGTTGCGACAGCAATGTGTATTATATACACATTTCCCGACACATTGAAAAACTTACTATTTGATAAATTTTCAATTTGGATAAAATAACAACAGAAACAAAAATGAATACAAAGTCGCTCTTTATGTATGCATTACATCGTATTTACTTGCGTAAATGGATAACAATTTATGTACATAAAACCACACAGGAAAATGTTATTGTCGTAGCAAAAAACGGAAACTAGGAACAAAGTTAAAACGCAGCCAAATTGTATATATATTCGTTTGAATTTAAGTATGACAACATTTTAAAATGGAAGCAAAAATAGAAATTAATCCGAGTTTGGTGCGGTTGTTGAAGCACAGGGAGCACACAATTGCATTATTTGAACCATATATTACAAGTGTGGACGGGAATCAAGTCATTATCCATTCACATCAGACAATGCCATCCTAATATGATTACATATCAAATTCAACCACAATAAGTATCACAATTAAAATTATACGGCAAACTGACAACAAGAAGCCGAAAAAGAAAACAACATCAACAACAACGACGGCAACGACGACGACAGAAATAAAAAAAAGAAAGCCCACACAAGAAATACAGAAATGTAATTACGGGAAATTTGTTACTTCATTTTTCGTTAGTACATTGTTTGATTTGTTTTCCATTTCAAAGTGTTCATTACGTAGCTCTTTGTTTTTGGTGTTTTGTTTTGACGATTCAATGTGGGCATGGCGTGGTGTACATTTCAAAGCAATTACAATGGAAAATCGAAGAATTTTCAATACGAACGAAACGAGAGTAATTAAATTTTCCAAAGAAAATCGAATTGTTCAAGTAAATCATACACCTCTTCGGTTTACATTTAATTAAATATTTCGACCAATAATTCACGCATTTCATTTCACTCAAACCGTAAATTTTGTGTCAATAATATCGTGATGGTTGTTTTTCTAACCCCCCTCCCCATATTCTTCGGTGCTTCGGAATGATATGAATATATGGTCTTGTTATTGTTTAGTCGGGATTACATTTTAAACACAGTGGCTTTGTTTGTATCAATAGAAAAGCGGTCGAGTGTAAGCGATAATTTCTTTGAAACTGTCCACCATCTAAGGCAAGTAATTGTATACAAGTGGATGGAGATTATTTACAACTTCTGTTTCAAACGCTTTTTGAATAAACGTCGGAGGAAAATCCAATCGATTTTGTATTAATTACAGTTAGAATAGCTTTAAAAATATCGTGATCACAAGCTCATGTTATTTGATGGCCCCTTTGCTGCTCGCTTAATGACTATTATTTAACACAAAAACACAACATTTGTGTCCACGATGGCAGACAAAACTTTAGTTTTAAATGGAAAAAAATACTCACCTTTACAAGCTTTCTCATAGATTTCTTTGTCGTCGGCGACTAGTAGTTCGAATTTACGCTGTTGTTCAGAAGCCATTTCTTCTAATGTTCCCGTCACTAATTCGCTATTATCTTGGATGGCTTTTAAATACGTTTTGTAGTCATCTTGGGCAATTCTGTAAAAATGGTAGAAAAAAAGTTTTAAAAAAAGAATGAAATCACACGGCTTCATAGTATTACTAAACGGCACGATTTTATTCAGCTAAGGAGGCATTAAAAGGGAAGGATGTTTCGGAACTTACCTAATCCGCTTTGATTCCAGTGTTCGAATGAATTCGACTTCATTTGGACATAAAAATAGTATGGCGCGCCCACTTAGTCCAGCACGGGCTGTTCGGCCAACACGATGCACGTAATCGGCCAATTTATGCGGCGATGAAAATTGAACCACCAAATCTACCGCCGGCACATCAATTCCACGTGCGGTCACATCCTACATTCCAAAGATATCATGAAAAATGAGTGATTTTATTTATATTGCCAAGAAATGGAATGCGACACAAAACAATGACATTGCATTTGTTGAGAGGCTCACACAGCAGGTTGTTTACCGTCATTTCAAGTGGCCCACAATATAACTCATCGTACCCATAATGCTAAGTAATCGTTGTGGTCATTAATAAAGAAATTTTAATTGCCTTGTGAACATGTATCATGTGAACATTCTTTCAAGCAATCGAACCATAAACACAGTTTGTGGTTTCACTTCGTTTCTCACTCTCCAAAGATATCCATCTAATCTAATGTAATTGAACACCAGTAGCATCTAAAGTTAATTCATAACTGAATGGAGTATTTCTCTGGCCTGCGGAATGGAATGTCTTTGATCGAAAATATCCAAAAAGAATTCCATCGATTGTGACTAAACGATGGCAAAAGTGCGTTTTTGACCACCAAAACAGCCAATCATTTGCTCAGCATGAGTCACATTTCAACCGAAAATTCGGTGTGATTTGCAGGTCGTTTAGAAACTATTCTGGTGTCAATACAAATTGACAAACTGCGTATCATTCGTTTCGATGTTAAAGAGAAAAAAATCGAAATTCTTCAAGAGAGAATCTTCTACGAGGCAAACAAACGAACGATATATCCGTGTGAAACAAAAATGATCACGTTGCTGAAGAAGTTGATTTCATTCGCTTCATTGGCGTAACCAGAAAATAATTTTTTCACATATTCTCATTGTAATTGGAATTGTTTAACTGTGGCCATTTTTCTGTGACTTTCTGAAAGCAATTTCTGTCTTGAGAAACAGATGACACGCTTAGAAAGAATGAATAATAAATAAAAAAAAATTGCGATTCGGACAATGACTTTTAGTTTTGTTCTCCACTCATGTGTTCTTTCTCAATAAAATGGTTTGAAATCGATTTTGCTTACGGTTTTACTAATACAGTCTTCAATCACCTCAGTCAGTACATATGTGTCATGGTACGTGATTATAATTTTTTCACGATTAGAACGAGACTCGTGGGAAACACGTATTTTGTTTAAAACACATTTTTAGCAAGAATGTTGAACTAGCACAATAGAATGTTTACTTTTCGGGGAATTGACCTGATTTCACGTAGAGCGATACGCGCTGGAAAACAATTTCCATGACATTTTCATGTATGCCCATTTTGTACGGCTATTTACATGTTATTATTCAAAATCGATTGGAAATGTACCAAATCTAAATAAACTCACCGTTGTCAGCAATACACCAGATTTTGCCTCTTTGAACGCTTTGAAAATGGCACTGCGCTCATGTTGTGTCAACGATCCATGAAGTCTGGAAAAAAAAGCATTGCAATTTATGTGTTTTTTTGTACTTTTTGTCTTTTTTTAAGTTTTGCTTAAGAAAAATTGTTTCAATCAGATCGGTGTGAAAATGGAAGTAAACTCACTTGAAAAATTTCACATCAGCTAGCAACGGTCTTTCTTTGAACTTCTTCTTCGATTTTGTTCTTACTTTATCCAACAATCCATCTTCATCCTCCAAATCACTCTCACCGTCCGGAAGTGCCATATTGTCATCATCGTCTCCATCGTCCTCATCATCTGAGTCGACCACTTTCTTGGTCAATGTTTCGGTCATTAAATCATAATGATAATCGACTAAATTTTCGGTGGCCAAAAATACTAAAATCTTTGACGATTTACTGCCATCGCATGTTTCTTTCGAAATCAATCCTGTTAAAGTGACCAAACGTAGTTTTGGTGGCACTAAAATATATTTTTGTGTGACTTTCTCTGGAATAACAATATTTTCATTGGCCAAACTCTCTTCGATCGCTTCAATTGAGTCTTCGCTTTGGCCAGCAATCGGAATTGTTTTCGGTAATTCAATGTCCTTCTTATCGCTGGTATCGATAAAAAGTGGATTTTTCAATGCCAAATTCCCTAATTGACGAACGGCCGATGACAAAGTCGCAGACAACAGTGAAGTTTGTACATTTGATATTCGTTTTACTTGTGGTTCTTCAACCTCATTGGATTTTGCGAATGGATTTTTCGCTTCTGGTTCTTTGTTGAGAGCGTCAACAATGACTTTGACATCTTTTTCATAGCCACATTCGAACAGTCGATCGGCTTCATCCAATACTAAATACTTGACCTTATCTATTTTAAATGATTCAGTGTGTAGCAAATGGTCACAAATCCTTCCGGGTGTTCCAATTAAAATATTGACTCCTTTTCGAAGTCGGGCTTTCTCTGATTTTCGCTTTTCACCGCCCGTTATATAAGTCGGCACAATCCATGTGAACGGTTTCAGAAGTTTGATGAAAACTTCGAGCGTTTGAATGGCCAATTCGCGAGTTGGAACGATAACCAACGCAAGAATGCCATCGTTTCGATTTATTTTCGGTTTGATATCTTGTAGTTGCTGTACAATAGGCAAAGCATAGGCCAGTGTTTTGCCAGATCCGGTTTGTGATCGAACTAAAATATCACGACCTTCTAGCGCGATAGGAACGGCTCGCTGTTGAACGTTCGTTAGTTCAGTTATTCCAAATAAATCTGCTAGTGTTTTCACCAAATGTGGATGTAAACCAATCGAACTCATTGGCAACCCGGTGAAGACAATTTCATTGACCGGTTTAACAAAACGCTGTCCAACTACAGGTACATCTGGAGTATTTTTGAATATATTTTCTGCTTTTCGCATCGGTTTGTTTTCGGGTTTTTTCTCAAACATTTTCGGCCTTCTTTCCACATTATTAGTTGATTCTGTATTTTTCTGAAGATTTATTTTTGGGCCAGCTTCGACATTCGATTGTTTTGCAAACGCGTTTGGTGTTTTCTTCTCTTGCTTACCACGAGCTTCGTCGATTCGTCGTTGCATAACTCGCTCTTTGCGCTCATTTCGTGATAATTTCTTTTTCTTTTCGCCAAACCTTTTCGCTGACATTTGAGTCAAATCAAAGCTGGTGTATATATTCAGACTCAACGATGCCTCATCTTCTGGTTGTTTAACCTTGGCCATACTCAAAAGTGAATCTATATCATCATTTTTCTTGTTTGGCGTTGATTTTTGTGGTGTATTCACTTTGTTTTGGGTCTGTTTTGAATTATCTACCGGTTTTTGAATGGGTTTCGATATCAAATTCTCAGTGGACGCTTTATTTGCTGCTGATTTCTTGGCCAACAATAATTGTGGCGGTCGTTTTCGAGCTACGATTGCTTTGACTTTGTCATTTTTCACGAAATTAAAATCAAAACCACCAATATTCGATTTTCGCTTCGTTCCCACTGTCGGTAGTTTTAGTTTTGGCTACGGAGAAACATAATGTTTTAATGAGTAAAAGAAAGAAAAAAAACGTGTTGATAACACACAACTTACAGTTGACTTGCTACTACTCGCTGATGTTGATATATTCAATGACAGATCCATGGTTTAAATTGTAATATTTAATGTATTAAAATCATAAAAGAGCAACTTGATATTTTTCAATTCAATTAAAACACGAAAAACAAGAAAATTCGGCAAAATTCCAGTGGTTTCGACACACTATTTACATTTTTAAAAGCACTCGTCATATGTCAAGCGCACATGTTTGTCGTGCAGCGAAAAACATATGCTGAATTGCTGACATGCGTACACAACCGTCATATGCTTGCTGACTAATATCACTAGAGGACGCGCTGTACGTGAGAACAACATCGTCTTTTGTTTATAAATCACCTGTCAAACAATTCAAATCGTTATCACTTTCATAATACAAGTCACATACCGCAAATGGACATATTTGTCTTTGGTTTTGCTTCTATCGTTGAAAATTCATTGAAAGTGAAAGATATACCATCGCCATTGTCTGGTGTGCTTCTTAACAGAACCGCGATGCTTATAGACAGTATATTCACGAGGTTGCCAAACATCATCGACGATGTAGAACATGATATATTCTCATGACAACAAATTCGGTACGCGTAAATGTTGTGGGGGTTTGAATTGCTATTTTGTAAGTGAACCATAATTTTTTTTTATTGAAATTAAACTTTTTTTATTTGACTGCTAGTATTGTCAATGGATGATGATTTACGAACATTTTGTTTCAACGGTCTTGAATTATGAAAAATCTTTACTGCTATAAAAATATTGTTCATGGTTTGATTTTTTTATCTATTTTTAGGCATCAAAGTTCCGATTTTTATTGGAGTTCACATAATTGAATAACTTATTATTACAATCAAATTTGATGGAAATCTATATGATCTCACGATTGATTTGCGCAATCGTCCAATAATAATTTAAGTTATATTGACTGCGTTAGTTCTTTTTTTACATTTTTATTTGCAATTTTTATGATATAAATTCCTTTGTTGTGAAAAGAAAAGTGGCAATAACAAAACTTCTGGTTACGAATTGACCTTAATTCGATGTTTCAACAAAAGAACCCTTTATTCACTCTGTCCCTCTCTCTCTCTCTCCTCCAAATACAGAAACATACGCGTGCACATTTATATGATTATCCTGTTTGAATCGAGCGATTCGTTGGGAAATAAATACCGGAAATGTGTGTAAACAACAACCAAAATTCATTTCAAATAAATAAAAAAACAAACTATCGATTTGAATTTTGTGTAAGTTTGCGATTCACTAGACTTCGTTACGAATAATATATTGTGTACTGCGTTCAAAATACCGATCTGTTTCCATTCTGTTGTGTATATTTATAAAATGAATAAATTTATTTTATTGTTATCGAAATGATTCTTTTGCAGATGAATTGCCGAAAAATGGAGTTCTTTGGAATAGAGCTGACGAGAGAGAAAAAATTCGGACGGAGACAAGGAGGGGTGTGCATGTGTGTGTGTCTGGTTGAATCGAGCAAAATGGGCAAAATGCGATAAATGGCAAACGACGACGGCGACGAGCACAGCGAAAAACCGGAAATTGTGTACAGAAATCAGTTTATTGTGAAAATGGGAAAATTCATTTAGATGCGAACAATGGACGAATGCCTGGTGCACGACAACACTGGCAATAAATAAATTGTAAGGAAATATAAAAATTATTATGTTTTATGGCTTTATGCATTTACATTTATTCTCTCTTTTCGACCATCAGATTCGCAGCGCACCAAACAGGCTGCAAATGTTTGTGTGATTTGATTTGGTTTATGTTTGTTCACCATTTATGCATTCCAATATGAATATCCGTTGTAAAAATTGATTCGGATATGGTGGAGGTTATATTGAATTTTCACATATTCACACAATGGCCCAATGGTCGACGAATGTACACATGCACACCAAAAAAATAAACAATTTCCAATGATTTCCATAAGCATTTTATTTTCTATAGGAATACGTAATGCGAATAGGATGCATTTTTGACGTTTTTTTGAAAAGCAAAACTGATGTGCTGTTTTTGTGTGGGCCAATTTGTTCCGATAATAAAATGGACGTCGGCCAATGGTGTGGAAAGGACAAATGGACGGCACATATAGTTTTAAATAATAAAGAGAGAAAATACTTTGTTTGAATTCTTTGTTTCGTTTGTAGTACATTGTAGCCATTCTGAACCAGTTCTACTTTATTTATTAAATACGGAAAACAATTAAACGATGACATCGACATTGATGAATTTATTTTTATGGCTTTGCAACAACTTTATAGTTTACAACAGTCGAAGATGAGCGAAAAAAAATGCCAATCCTTTCCAGCTGTTAAGCGATAAAATTGTCAATCGCAAACAATGGCACAAATTTAAAAAACTTTTTCGTCGTATCGTCGACAAAAAGATCAATTTCCCTTTCAAAAACTGTTATTATCAATACATAATGAAATAATTTGTAAGCGAATGCTTTGCAATTCAAAAGAATATTTATTCCAAATATCGTGGGGATCATCGTTTCAGATGGTTTTTCGCTTCTTCTTTTGTTGCCATTTGTCGCATCCGAAAGAATTTAAATTGTTCATCGATTGGCAATAAAATGTCCCCTCAAACTTTCATCGCATCAAATGTGGTTTGCATAGCGAAACACAAAAATGTTTTCAAACTGTTATTATGAATCGATTACATTTCAAGTTGTGCATTGTTATCGCAGAATCATTTGTAAAATGCATACAATAGACAAATCTATCGTTAAATAAAAGGCAATCGTCTTCTCTTAAGCCAAAGTAAAAAATAATTCTTTTATTCACAAAATTATTCATAGTTAACATAAAATACAGTCGCTAAGGCGCCATTACGATGCCATATATATCCATCGAAATTGATCCATAAAAATAAATCAACGTTCGAAATATGGCCATTTTAGTTTTTGTGTAATTCATTTAATACTATATTTCGTTTGACTAGCGAAAACGCTTTGAATAGAAGAAAAAAAATATTTCAAACAATTACAACACAATCATTGTCCACCTTCTTTATGACATTACATTTAGATTTTCATTTATCTACCTAATTTGATTTCTTATCGCCAAAGTGGATGATGTTTGTGTTGTTTACGGTGATTATATGATGAAAAACATTTCTCCCAAATGTGGATCAATGGTTTCGAGCGGTTGTTTTCTCCAATTCCGTTTTTTGTGTGTTATCTCCGTTGCAAGACCTTCTTTTTGCTTTTGCTTTCGAATTTTGACGAGCATCTTTTTACCAGCGGCATCTGATATTTGTTTCAATCGAGGTTCGGGTTCCTTATAAACCTCCGTTAGTTCATTATTGAAATACATAAATTGCATTGCTGGTGGTGATAGATCTTTTGCATCGTACATATGCTCGTCCTCGACCTCGAAAATGGGCACATCTTTTTTGATAGTTGACACTTTCATGACATCATTTGCTAATATTTTGGTGGCCGACTTCTTCTTTTCTACTTGTTCTTTCACCGCCCATTTTACCTCATTCGGGATTATTTTATTGGGTTCTTTGACCGCCGGTTTTTCTTTTTTGTGAGGTTTGATCGTTTCCAAATAGTCACGTGTTTGCGCTGAATCCAACAAATCACCCATATTTTGAACATCAAACATTGTCTCCAACAAATCAACATCGAAACGGAAACTATTTGCGTTGAGAAAAAAGGTGGCAGTCGATCCTTTCAACAGTCGATAATTTTTTGATGACATTTTTTGATAGAAATTTTTCAATTTTATTCCTAAACTCTTAATCTTATATCGATTTACTTATGTGACAATGTTTGAATGTGTAGCAAATCAAATGCTGTTGCAAATGTGAACTGTCAACCAAGCTGCACCGTGCTACAAATTCTAATGCGTAAAATATTCCGGTATGTAAATGTCAATGCAATACCTATTTTTCAAATGACACTTTAAAATGTGAGCAGAATTCTAATGCAAACTGTGATCACTGCTTGTCATTTCATATGGTTAAAATATATATGTATTTGTTTGTCAATACAAGCAAAATTCAAAGTAAGCCAAATTCTTAATCTTTTTTTTAAATTGTCATTGAAAAATCATATTTTCGAGCGAAAACCGTCACAAACGAAACGAAAGTTCGGCTTCATCTTTAAATTGGATTTTTTTCTGTGAAGACCCATTTTTTTCGACCGGTGAACTTTTCGCGCCTAGTTGTTATCCGAAAGACTAGATGTCGTTGTAGACATTGGATAAAGTTCAAATTTCAATCCTTTCTTCCCCTCCAACCAATTATCAATCATATTCGATTGAGACGAAACGCACGATACCAAACATAATGTGAGAGGCAAAACTTTGTGCCAAACAAATAAAATGCATTACGATAAAACTAACTTTTTCGATAATAACGTTACGTTTATCGCAGCTGCTTCGATTTATCATAACATTTGTAATTTATTATATTGAATTAAATGGCAGCGACCTCGGTTTTTTGGCGATGCCCAATTTTAGCATCATGTGAATAAATAATGAAAAAAAAAATTCCTTTACATTGAAATCATAAACAGAAATATTGTATAAACAATGTGCAAATTGCTCGGGTGTAGAATCGGCTTACCATTTATTATTTTCTGCATGAATGTCGTTAAGTACTATCGTATGATAAAATGAAAACAAACACTTTTTGCCATCGACAGCGAGCGCTAACTTGTCGTTCGCGCGCCTCTCTCTCTTCGGTGCTCCACCATAGTGGAGATGGATATAAAAGGAGCGTACACCGAACAAAACGTTTTAATCGTTTAAGGACACTCGATCATTCAACAACATGTTGCAGAGCAACTGACTCACTTTGAATTCGAAGTCGTTGGTAGTGATGAAAAAGACGAGCTGGTGTGCCCGCATGATAATGGTGCCGTGATGCGAAGTATCAAATTCCATGTGAAATTCAATAAGGCCGCGACATAAACAAGTTTCAAAAGAAAACACAGCGACGAACGTGCAATCGAATAAACAATAAAAGAGAAAAAAAAACACATTTCATTCGTAATACTATTTCCATTGAGATGACTATGTGCGACTGTGTGTCTATGTGTGTGCATGTTTGAAGTAACAGAATGTTCAGTATCGCCAAACTGTGAGCCAAGTATAAAAGTGAAATAAATATATTTTAAGGAGTTGTGTGTGTAAGAGTTGTTCAAACAACAGTTATATTTATTTTACCACGTCGAAATCATATTTTGGTGTGCTGGAAAAGTTACGGAAATTCATGAATATTTATTACTATCATCGTCGTGCTATTGTGAGCTATTCAAAGCTTGGAAAGATTTCCTTCTTTTTTTTCGTTTCGGTGCAATGAAATGTAAACAAAAAGCACAATTTGTTTGAGACAAATATTTTTTTGGCGTAACAACAACAACTTCGCGGGAGATCGGCGCAAATTCAACGCTCTATGGAGGAAAAAACGAGTGCATTATAGAAAGAAGGATAGTCGTTTGCTTTGCAGTCAAATCAACAAAATATATATAAATTGCTAATTAAAGCGAAACCGACACAATATTGTCGGATACTGTACACATTGAAAATTGAGCAATCCGCGGGAAAATGAAATGTTTCACCATTTACACGATAATTGCGCTGGAGATGTTTGTAGGTGTTGTGATAGCAACCAAAAGTAAGTTGAAACTTTTTAACATTCAATGCGGTATGTTTCACAAAAAAATTATATCAATTAGCTATTTTCCATTTTCCAACCCGATAATAATAAAATTTCCCAACATTGTAATAAATTCCACATTGTATATAATAAATGAATACATTGACTCGAAAAATCAACCGAAATATTATCATTAATATAACCGTGTATGGTGGTGGAATGGTGGTTGAAATTTTCCAATTTTCTCTAACAAAAATAATTGCGATAAAGTTTGTTCTATATACATATAGACACAGCATATTCGATTAAATCAACAGAAAAACAACAAATGTTTTACACACATACACATACAAAGCGAACACCATTACTGGTGTGAAAAAAAAGTTTTCGCTCTCTCTTTCTCTTTCACTCCGTAGCTTGATTATTGCTTTGCCCCGCAAAACCCAATAGAATATGTGTCAAAAAGCATTAATATATGTGTATATATTTTGCTGGTGTTCATTTTAACTATTAAATTTGATTAGAGGCACGTTATTAAATTTACACGATACTCGCCCGTCCCGAATTTCAAACCATCGTTGTGCTCTTATTTGGCACGTTATTTATTTACTTGATTGAATTGAATTATTTTTATGTGCGACTCATTTTTCGTTGATTTTTGAATTACCGTACACTAATATTCGTGAGTGAATATGGCGGTGGCATGAGTGCAAAAGCAAGCGAGTGCTTTGTGGCCAATGATAACACTGTTTGGATTTGTGCTAATTGAACGAGAAAGATGGATTGGACAAAGTGGAAAAATTAATGGTCGGTAATACTGCTCATCCGAGAGAAGACAGCCGGGCCGAATGGGGAAATGCATGTTTTTGGAGATCAAAGATAACGTAGAACTTGATTAATTATAATATCGAAATTTAAGCAAACAAAATATAAGCTTGTTTCGGTGCACATCGATTACATGGCCAAAGAATGTTGTTGTCGTGTCGATTCTTAGCTCCTTTGATAGCTCTTTTGTCGATTGTGAGCATGACGTATGATGGCAAACGATTAATTTTCATCGTACAAATAATTTTTATCGCTTGAAAATATAGATATACTTCACAGCTAGTCAAAAGAGACTGAGCGAAAATGTGATCAAAACCAGGATTCTTTTACAAAGTTATATCGACGTCAAAAGATTCTTGGAGCGAATAAATAAACTAATAGAAGCAAAAACCCTTTGATTATAACACGCGGAACTCTCCTGCTCCCTCTTTCTCTCTCTCTCTCAGTCGACCTTTGATTCTAAGCCAGCAAAACTCATCTCATTCCAGCGTGTGTTGGTGTGTGTGTATGTGTATGCTTTAACCAATGTACCATGCCCGTTGGCGATAAAATCATTTATAATATAATTTTGTTTGTAACAATCCCTTGACTCCATCGTCTGTCAATACCTTACGTGCGCTTATCTTACACCCAATTTACCGAAGTAGATGTGCACTTGCACTACAGATATTATGTATATTCAACATGTTGAGGCATCCTCTCTGTTGTTCTCGCTGAATCATGGGACGCAATTCAAAGGCAACAATAACAACAACAAAAACAACAAGAATAACAACACCAAATGTATAATCACGCCACTTGCCCACATTTCGAATTTGTATGTGTGTATGTTCGGAGCATCGTGCTTCGTGCAAACTTTCATGAAACTGAAAATATTTTAAAATTAAATCGGTGGCAAACGATACAAGGAGAGAAGAGAGAGAGAGAACATAAATGTACACGTATAAAACCTGACCCGAACATAAACATATGCGGGTTGGTTGGTTACGATTATGTAATTCTGTGTTGTTGCCGCCACATTGATTAGAAAACCTGGGTAATGGGCTAACTTCTAACACATTAAGTAATTATTATGATTATGAACCGTGGCTGCGAAAAGCAACAGCCATAAAAACAAAGTTAGGCGCATTAGCACAAATGCAACTAGTTAACACTAACTTTGATTAAGTCAGACAAGAATGAAAAAAAGATGAAGAAAGTGAAACCAATATGACAAAATGTTCAACAAAACATTGCAACACATGGCAACCGAAAACTCGGAATTGCTTTTGCTTATCGAACGGTTGCCCTTGTTGTGTTCATCATTTGAAAGATAATAAAAAAAATTCCGAAATGTGTTTGTGTGTGTGTGCGAGAGAAGAGAGTTTGCAATTAAAGCTATAACAAAATGGGTCGACGATGGCCTGAACCCTGATTTTGTTCGGCCATTCGTCATTTTGGCAGTGGTTTTGCTTCATTTCCTCCTCTACCATATTCGAAAACATCGTCACCACTTGTTTGCTATGTATGATGCATGGAAGAAGAGCAATAGCTGGGATTAAATCACACTATAAATCGAATGGTCCGTGCGTCAGGATGTTGGAAATTGCAAATACCAAAGTAATGACAAAATTAATTTCGAAGCAACGTGCTCACCTGCTTAATGTATAGTATATGGTAGATAGATGGGTGTAAAGACAGATAGACATGGGGTAACCACGAGTCCCAACATACCCAACATACAGCCGTCCATAGTAAATGAGTTCGAAAAGTGCTTATATTCGATGCGTGCTTGCATATTTTATCGATTTCATTCGATTGTCTTATTATCCGAAAATATGATGGGAATGTGAAATATGTCTATGGTTTAAGACCTTCGAACCGTACGGTTCTCTATTTCCATCTCATATTTTTCCATTCTATCGCCTTCGCCAACATTAAATGATGGTGTTTTGTTCGTTTCGCGGTTTTCTACTATCCATTACACGTTATTCGGGTGCAATTTATTCCAAGTGTGCCGCTTATGAAGTGGCGATGAGCTATGAATAAGAGACAAACACACACACACAAATTCCAAGTAAAAGTGAAAATGATATGACGAACTGGTGATTTGAAAATGAAATGTGAGTTCGGGAGCCAACACGTAGATAGATATATATATAGAGAGGGAGTTGCGAGAAAAAAACAAGAAAAAGCAATAAATTCCTTTTAAATATGAACTACAACTCACCACACCACACACACACACATCATACAAATAAAGTATTTCCCAACAAAATGATGCGTTTGAATGACGAAAAATGGCGGAGAGATAATAAAAGAGCAGGGTCATGACAAACACCAAACGGCAACAACCGTTGTGAAAAAAAGAGCAGGGGGAGAGCGCACACGGTGGCGGCAACCGTACATATAACCAATAGCAAATATGACTCTGGAGAAAGAAATTCCATCACATTTTATCGTTACTCATAAGCACATATAATAGAGGCGAACGTGTGGCATGTGTGTTTGTAGCGAGCCACATCATAATGCCACTGAATTTTATAATAATTTTTTTTATTCGCTCCGTTGTATTCGTTATTTCAACGTGCCACACGATCGACACGAATGAATGTGTCTTCCTCAGATTCTCTCTTCGTCCCTCTTTTTGTCTGTTCAGCATGAATGGAACGGATGCCGATTGTTCTACGTTTGAAAATGTGAAAATTGTGCACAACATTTTGTGCCAGTAAACGAAACGATTATGATATTTGTCTTGAATGTTCGATGAAAATGAACGAGTTGGAAAATATATGGCTGCTAAAGTGTTGAGAGTGAGAGTGGGAAGAAAAAAGATGGGAATGTTAAATATAGAAATAGACAAAAGCACGGGTAACAACTGCATTGTTTGCTCGAAGAAGTGAATATGGAAAAAGGATTATTTGTGTTTGCGTTATGACGATAATTTTATTCGGTTTTATTTTATTTTTTTTATTCACATTGTAAGCTTTGACACCGCATTTCAACGGCGATGTATTTACTAGAATGCTCGACGCTTGGGAGCAAGTGCAAAATGAAAAAAAAAAACTAACACGTATCAAATGAACATTTATTCCCACTGCTTATCAACAGTGTATATTCACCATTTTCGTTACTATTGTAGCAATTTCAACAATTGGATTGATTGAAAGAGAGAGAGACTGACATTGAGAGCGAGAGATAAAATGTCATTTTATATTTATTTGGATTTTATTTATTATTATTTCGCACACTCGCGCGTGCACATATCGAAAAGCAAATGAAATATGCAATCAAATATTGTACGTGTATGTGTCTATGGGCAAAAAAATGAAATAGCATTACATATGTAATGAATTAATATCCTCTTTTATTGTGAAAAGTAAACAAAAGTAAAAGGCCCCAAAGCAAAAGCCATTTCAACGAATTTCCATCATACATATTCAATAATGTCTGTGCACACTGTACTGTGAGCTACTCTGTTTGCTTTACCCATTTTGACTCTTTCTCACTTTTTTCATCTTCTTTCATTTCAATTGCAATAACAAATTGCTCTTTATTGATGTTGTCGTTGGCATTGGCATCGCTGGTCTTGTTTGCACTTGGACTATGAAGAGCTACCAAGTACCAAGTTACATACACTTATGTTGGATCATCATAGCATGAAATTAACGTGGTACATCGATTGGCCAAAAAAAGAAGTCCTCTTTAATGTTGATGACGCATTCACCGATGACACCGATTGGTTTTCTTTTGGCTTTTCGCAACGTGGTCAAATCGAAGGATCCGATGTTTGCTACTTTGTCAAAAGCATTTACGACGATGAATCATATAATGAAGCAATCGTAAGTAACAGTGTATATATTTAACGGGCGAATAATGATGTTTACCGTTTATTTTCGTTCTATTTACGTTATTATATCCGCCAAAAAATCGAAGGACACGTACGTCGGAAGCGATAAAAAAGTGTACCGAGACTTACAACAAGATTGTGAATTGCTCCGTATAGACGATCGCTCAGTGGCATTCAAACGTAAAATTGATACGTGTGACCCACAAGACTTCGCCATGCATGTTAGTACTCAATATTGATACTTTAAAAATCACACCGTTGTCGATTCACTGACAACAATAATAATAAATTGAATGGAGAAAAAGAAATTATTGAGACGGAATTATGTGTTAAATTTGTGTTTGATCGTTACTAACAGGAGGGAACCATGTTCATTTTATGGTCGCGCGGTGCGGATATTCTTAACTTCCCAATGGAATACGAAATAAATGGAACATCATCACACCGGCACAAGCGCGAAGGTCATTCGCATTCATCGCCACATCGAAATGGTGCCAACGATGGTTTGGTGATGGCGCAAATGTTACGTGCTGATAAACTTGTCATTCCGGAAAGGTAAATATAAATCTTATTTTTTTTTCTCTGCCATCGTCTATGTCTCTGAAAAAAATGTATAGCTGTGCTGCAGCCACTTTTGTCGTCTCGTTTAAAAATTTATTTATGTTCAACGTATGTTTGCATTTTGTTACAGGGACATCATGGAGGTGGATGTTACATTGAAAGAGGTTACGATACCTGCACAAGAAACCACTTATTGGTGTCACATACAAAAGCTAGGCGATTTTATCCAACAAAAACATCACATTGTGCAATTCGAACCGCTCATTACAAATGAAGACATTGTACATCACATGGAGGTGTTCCACTGTGAAACGAATGTTGAAGCCGAGATACCGTTGTACAATGGTGATTGCAATCAATTGCCTGAAGAAGCGAAAATTTGTAATCGAGTTATATCGCTGTGGGCCATGGGTGCGAGTGCATTCACATATCCAAAAGAGGCTGGACTACCAATTGGTGGCTCAAATTATAATCCATTCATTCGTTTAGAAGTACACTTTAATAATCCCGAATTAAAAAGCGGTATGAAAAACTCATTAAAACCAACATTTTTCAAGTAAATAAACAACCCACATAGCGTAGTGTTTCAAACGTTCGTTTTTTTTCTTGCTTATGGGATATAGGTTTAATCGATCATTCGGGCATGCGAATCAGAATGGTGTCAAAGCTTAGGAAACACGACGCTGCGATTATGGAACTTGGATTAGAGTATTCGGATAAGATGGCTATACCGCCCGGAATATTAGGATTTCCTCTGAGTGGTTACTGCATCGCTGAATGCACACAAACGGTAATTTATGACTTTTCACCATTTTTTTTCCGTTGGCTCATCTTACATTTTATATCTAATGCGTGCGTATGTGTGTTATTGGATGCGATTTACTATTTGGCGATGGTATATGGAAGGCTTTGCCAAAATCTGGTATCACAGTTTTTGGGTCGCAGTTGCATACACATCTTCGTGGTGTTCGAGTTTTGACACGGCATTTTCGTGACGACATCGAGTTACCAGAACTAAACCGAGACGATTACTATAGCCATCACTATCAAGAAATTCGTTACCTACGGAATCAAGTTAAAGTTTATCCGGTAATTTGATAGTTTTTGTCATTCATTATTATATGTATTTCGTTTTTGTACTTTATATTTCACTTGCACTGAGCACCACACACACATTGCAAACATTTCAATTCGCATCGCTGTGAATTCGTTAGTTTCTGTGTGCATTCGTTTCGTGTTCTTTTTATGGCTTGTCTCGATTGTATTCCCACTTTTCCATCTTCGTGAAAATGTTGATTTTTCTTCTCATCCATCTATCCATTTTCATTTTCTTTATTGTGCAAAGGGAGATGCTTTGATTACTACTTGCTACTATGACACTCGAGGCTACAACAACACAACTCTGGGCGGTTTTTCCATAAGCGATGAAATGTGTGTGAATTACATTCAATATTATCCAGCTACAAAACTTGAAGTTTGCAAAAGTTCTGTGTCTGAGAAAACTTTAGAAGATTATTTCTTCTATATGAAACGGTATGCTATTAATTTTTGTACTCTTTTTTTCTTCACCCTATTCTCGGCTCTTCCGTGATATAAAGAAATTCAAAGAAAGAAATTGTTTTTGTGAGAGGAAAAAAGTAATTATATATTTTTTTCTGGATTTTTCTTCTTTCTGTTATGTTTCTTTTTACCATATTTCCGTTTATATTATGAACACTTTTATTCAACAAAGGCGCGAGCATCAGCATAAAGTGTCGCTAAGAGGTGCACGCTCTGAAAATTATCGTTCAATTGAATGGACCAAACCACACATTGACGAACTATATGGAATGTATGTACAGGAGCCATTAAGTATGCAGTGCAATAAGTCTGACGGCCATCGTTTCCCGGGTTTTGAATGGGAAGGTGCACCCATTACACAAGCGACTATTCAAGTGGCGTTACGACGATTTGAAACTTGTGAAAATTACAATCCTTACGGCGTTATACCGCTTGAACTCGGCGAATGCGGTTATTTAGGCGAATGTATTTATTAGAGCAGAGAAGATAATAAAAGCCATGCTTACCATTAGCTTTAAGATAAATTCAAATTCCATCACATTAAATCTACATTTAAGCACCATCTATTCAAATAAAGTCACTGTTGAAATTTTCTTTTCGTTTGTCTAATGTTAAAATTTATTTCATTTTTTTCCGCCTCAAACAATATTCACGCGTGTAATATTCACACAAAATCTACTTAACGACTATACGGATGAATTTGATTGGCCGATTTAATATTTGTTTTAATAGCAGAAGGTGCTTTGCCAGTTTGTGTGGCCGGCGCCGGACCGGTTGGCATCGTTGGCCGTACTGGTGGAACCATACTTCCACTGTCTGGTACCAATCCTTTGCCCATCCCAACTGCGGCCACCAGCGCATGTGTGTCACCGATATTACTTGTCTGTTGAATACCGGCCCGTGATGAAGCCTCGACGTCCCATTCTTCTCGCGCTTTATTCACCATATCGTAAACATGTGAAATCACTTTTGTGAATTGGCTGACTTGTTTTGCCGCTGTGTCAGGCACCATGTTATTTGCCTACGGCGAAAAATCAAGATTTGAAATAAGTTCGGGGTATTTTTGTTATGAATATGCTGCAGAAACTTTGAGGTAAACAAACTCACTTTTTGCTCATGTGTGAGCATTCGCTGTTCAGCTGCTGGTTCTGGTTTTGTGCCTAAAAATATGAGATGAATGAAATTAAGCTTGAATCGATATGAAAAAGGCATATGGATATGAGATCTAAACATACGTAAATAGTCTGGAACCAAATCATGCGCAAAAATTGCTATACGCGACTCTGTCAAGTGAAAAATGGCTTCGTCTCTCTCTTGAGACAGTTGCAGTGGAAGAACGGTAAGGTTTCGAAGCGGCGGACCCAACTCATGTGCAAGAATTTTCGACAATCCCGTCAACTACACATCCAAACACAGAAAAAAGAACAATTGTTTTAAACACATCGCTAAATAATTTGAGAGAGGGGTTTGTATGTAACTTACATGACTGGAAATCAATGCAAAATTATCTAAAAATGTTGGCCAATTGATGACTTCATATTCGGTTTCAATTTTATGAATCATTGCACCGATCGAAAGTTTTAAGTCGTTTAATCGACTTAAAACCGCATCAATCAATGTTTCCAATTGCTTTTCTTCGCGTTGCATTGCAACTATTTACGTGTTGAAAAACCAAAAATATCAAAAATACTTCTCACTGGCGGTGTTTTATTGCAATCCGTAAACAATTTTACTTCTTCAGCTGTCACAATTGACACAGTGCAAATGGCAACCCCAAAACTTGTTGAAGTTCGATTGCTTTGAATTCAGCAAATGCATTCGCCAAGGTGATAACAGATGGCGTTGTTGTTCTTCAAGAGAAATCTGAAGTTCTCGTTAAAAAAATTGTCCACTCCAGTTTTGGTCAAAGCAAAGAAATCTTTTTTTTCCTGTCAGAATTTCAATAAGAATTTCGCAAAATTTAGTTTTAAAATAATTTACTGTATTTTACATTACATTATTATAAGACAATTGTTCGAATACACTTATCTATATGGAAAATCATCTATTATTAATTTTTCATGTCATTCGTAGAAGATCGAAAACGGATCAAATCAGATTCTTTTTTATTTTCTTTCAATAAAGAACTTTATACACATTTGCTTATCATTTTTTTTTCTTTGTAATACAGAATTGTTTTTCGTGATTTTTTTTTGTTTGGAAAATTGTCAACAATAAATAAAATCGAATTGATAATTAATGACAAATAAAAACTACTCGATAGAGTGTTGTAACATTCATAGTGTGAATTACATAAAATCAGTATCTTTTCTTCTTTTATTTCTTTTTTCCATTTAATTATTGTCTTTTTTCATTACTTTTTACATACAATCATCATCATTTTGTCATTAAATTAAAATCAGTTTACTCTTAACATTACATAAAAAGTATGCTTTGTAAAATTCACTAACGATTAAAATTGAAAATGAGTTTTGTTTTCTTTTTATTGGCAATAGATTTACGTCTTTGTATATGCGATTTCGTGTGACTGATTGAGTCGATGTTTACCAAACGATAAAATCGCTCAGTTGAGCATTTTGATGTCAAATGATTTCGGCCACATAGGTGCCGTCATCATTGTGAGATAGAGCCTGGAACGTGGAACCAGTAAACTCATAATGTGGCGTCTAAATGAAAAAATGGAAAGTTTTTCTTTTAATTTCGTTCGATTGAGTTAATTTGAGTGAAATAGATTTACCGTCGATGGAGGATGCACACTAGTAACATTTCTAAGTGTGGCGTAATCAGCAATTTCTCCATTTCCAATCGTTGACACTGAACTGCTATTACGTAGCCGTGGTCCAGTACTGTTGCCATTCGAGTGTGTTGCGTGTCGCGGCTGAATGGTTGCATATGTATTGTCACCCATTTGAGATACTTCGTACGAATCTCGACGGCCAAACGGAGATGCCGGTTGCTAATAAAATGAAAGAAAATTATTTAAAAAACAGATGAAAAAACATTCGGATTTATTTTAACTTACAATTCCGTCACTTTCATTGGTCGCTATTTCCGGTTCGGAGAACACCTGCATCGTTAGCTCTTGTTCTTCGTACATTTTCATTTTTCTAATATCAAAATGACATCGAAAAAAGTCAATCAACATAAGATAATGCAAGCAAAATTAAATGGAAACTCAATTGAATGAAAACAATGTCGATGAAAAAGAATTGAACTTACTGTTCGATCCACAATGGGTTTTCGGTTGTGCTGAGTTCATCAATAAATTGTTTTTTGATAAGTGCTTCTTTGCGACGTGTCTGCGGTGGTATGTTCATATTCCAATTTTTCAAGCAACAACAAAGCACCATAAAACTTATCGCACCAATGAATAACACCACTAAAAGTGCCAACAATCCAACTAATGCCAAATCAATTTCTTCTTCAACGAATTTAGCATGGGCCGGAATAATGTTTTCGATTGCAAATCCAGCATAATAATCTTTCAAAAAATCATAATTATTGTCAATGCCTTTCAGTACATCGTCAACGGGTACAATTAAACTGGTATCTGGTTCGACTGCATGAAAATACATGTCACACCAATCCATTCGAATGCGACCCATGCTATTGACATGATGCCGTATTTCATCGACAACAATACGTTTGTCGGTCGCATTTCGTAGTTCGGACACAAGTTCCTCTCGCTCCATCATCACTTCGGTTGGAGGTCGTGACATAATTACACGCACCAATTGCTCTTGTCGAATTACCCAAATCACAACTTTTGTCGATGCTTCACGGCCGGGATGTTCGATTTCTTTAGCAACGATTGTCAACTCAAATCGATCTTGGTCATATTCACCCATAAATGCTGCCGTTGTTAACCGGCCGTCCTTTGATATTTCTATAAATGAACAATAAACAACACATGATAAGTTACGAAAAACGGGGGTCAAATTTATTGAAACTTACTGAACGGGCTCGGTACAATTGAACCAACCGATCGACTAGATCCATATTTGTATAAATTCGATGCGACAATAATCAAGTCAAATGTGCCATTTGTTCCCATGTCCGCATCTGTTGCATTAATTGTTGTCACCAAGTGATTGATGGCTGCTTCAGCACTTATTCCAGCATAATAAACGTCATGTTCAAATTTCGGTGCATTGTCATTCAAATCGTTCACTTTAACTTGTACTTTTGCAACGGTACTATCACGTTCTAGTTGCTCAATCGATAGTTCATCTCGTTGGCGCCGAGAAATATGCAAATCCGATTTTTTGCTACTCAAAATGTACAAATGATACGTATCCACTTCTTCACGGTCTAACGATCGATTCGTGAACACATCACCCGTTTTTTTATCCACATAAAATGCACCATTCTCATTGCCCAATAGCATATAGTAATAGACATGTGTGTGTGGATCTTTATCGCGAAGATATGCTTGAATTTTACCAATACGAATGCCACGGTCGCTGTTCTCCACAACAAAGAATTTATATGGATTTGAAGCGTCCGGAAATTCGGCTTTATTTTCATTTACGCTAACGATTAAAATCGTTAGAAAACGTAAACTCTCGAAATATGATGGCGTTCCTTGGTCTCTGGCAACCAGTACTAATTCGTATTTTGATTGTTTTTCACGATTCAAATCCTTTTTCAATGCCAATTCGCCAGTGTGTTCGTCAATTTTAAATTCATCTGTTTCCAATACATTTTGATTATTCACTTGCAAATAGTACTTGACCAAACCATTATCGCCGGTATCTTCGTCACTTGCTTTTACTGTCATTACGAGATAATTACTTGTTGCATGATTCTAAATTGCATCGAAAATGTTCAAAAGAAAAAAACATTAATTTCCGTTGCTAAAAAAAGAGAAGAAAAACATTGTATGAACATACTTCCTGAATTTCAACGGACGCATTCGAAAGTGCTGGCATAATGAAAATCGGTCGATAATTGTTCACAGTTTGTACATCAATCACAACATCCGCTTTGTCGGCATTTGGCCCGAAACCCAAGCCATCTCGGCCCTCGACAGTTAGTTTGTATTGGCCCGTTTTGCCTTTTAGACTTTGGGACGGATACAAAATGCCCGAGTTTGGATCCAATTGGAACATCATATTGTCATTTCCAACAACAGCATACTTTACTTCACCAAAAATGCCGTCGTCGGCATCAACGGCATTCACTTGGAGCACTGCTGCTGGTGGATTTAATTGTGCATTTTCAGCCACGGAAGCATAGTAACTTTTTTGTGTGAATACCGGACTATTGTCGTTCATGTCTTGTACAGTAATGTAAATCTAACGTGTACGAAATGGAGAGAAAGAGAATTTATATATGTTGGAGTGAATTCATTCTGATGAAAATTAAATTGAGTTTGCATAAACGTATGAAAATATTAAAGTGAATTTTGAGAGAGAAAAATAGAGTAAGAAAGCGAATAAAAAGAGTCTTGATTCAAAACTGGTTACAGTCATACATACCGGAACATGAGTTGAGTGTCTTGTGGTGATTGGTGCTTTATCAATGGCAACTGCTGAAAAGCTTACTTCTGGCAACCGTTCTCGATCTAAAAATGAACTATTCTGCACGGTAATCACCCCCGATATGGAATCCACATTGAAGTTATTACTATGGTCTCCAATCAAAGAGTAAGTTACATTTCCGAAGATTCCTGCAAAACGAAAGCAAACAAAAGAAGAACGTTTCATAAAAAACAATGAAAACTTCTTTGCATATTGTTCATTTGAAATAAAATTGCCATTTTTTCCCATTATATATGCAATAAAAACGATAGACGATAGAACAAAGAAAATTCTGAATGTAATAAATGCTTGCAAACCATGGTTTCTACTACCAACGTACTTCGTACAATATTTGAATTGTAATAAAACAAAAATCGAGAAACACTCAAGTTCATTCGGTATAAGAGTTCTTGGTGCGAAGCAAAACAATCGAAATAGCTCTGGAGAGGGAGCAGGGAGAGATAGTATGTTTCATTTTGGTTTTTATTTGATTTGCAATCAATTTTATCTTTGCGGTGGCGACAGCAATAAAAATAAAAACAAACCCATCGAACATTGTTGAATTGGAAAAATTACAATGACAAAAAATATGCTTAGATTGCGACCAGGCGAAATCAACCGAGACAAAAAAAAACAACAACCGTTCAATAGAAAAGTTTTGAAATGGAAAATCGGCAATAAACTTTATATTGTGACCGATATATATAAAAAATTGATGCGAAGGAAATTGTCGATTTATTTTTGTTTTCTCGGACATACGAAATCATTTTCGTTTATGACATTATTGAAAATACAACGCCATTTGATGTGTAATGTGAGGATTTTCCACATTGATATCTATCCAAATCGTATGATTATATTATTGAATCGCATAATTTCCGATAACAAAAAAATTTTAACAAAAAGAAGTGAAATTTGAACAAAATTCCCCATTTTCATAAACATAGCATTTGGATCAATCTTAAAAAGTTAATATTAATGAAATAAACTGGTTGCATTGTGGGTTTTTAATTAAATTCCCGCCAGCAATGGAATTGATGCATAGATTCGGTGCACGTACACACACACACTCACATCACGAAAATTGTACGGGAACAAAACGGTTTGAGTGACGGGTTGAGGTTTACAATTGCCGCAATTGTAATTTTAAAAGCCTCATTTTCATTAGTGCAACAAAAATAAATTGTTTGACATATACCGAATGTTTCTGCTGTCAAATTTGAAGTTTTGAACCCAAAAAAAACTCAAGCAAAAGCACAAAAAATCACTTTAAATTGTTTTGAATTTGTTGGAAATGCTATTGCTTGAAATGTAAAGTTGATATTATGAAGGCTATAGGAGCTTTCATAATTTCATTGCTATGGTTAAATGTATGTGAGTGCATGTGTGCGGTTTTTTCGTCTTAAAGCGCTTCGTGCAAAATTTTGTTACACCGAACATGATTGTAAATTTTCAAATAACGTATTTTGTTGTAGACAACTTTCGTTCAGGTACTATTTGACACAGATGCACGATGAAAAAGATTGTGACTTTGTTCCCGTTTTACTCAAAACGAAAAAAGAAAAAATAATAATGTCATTTCATATGTTTAACTTCTCAAATAAATGGTAATATAATTCCATTTTTGTGCACCGTGTATGCGTGCGTGGATGTCATACAACGTTGTTTGTACTTATGAACTTGATGCAAACACATTGTCCGCAAAAACTTCGGTGAAACACTTTTGCGGGCAAAGATTGCTTGCTGGTGAATGAGTTGAGAGTTTGTACCTTGTAAGAGCAATTTTACTTCCTGAAATGTCGTTACGCACATCCATTCGGTGTGTATGACAGGTATTTTGTGCGTAAACGACACTTTTTTCCTCTCACACACATTTGCATATGGGCTTAAATCATTAGTAACATCGTTACACTGTGATTCTGTCACATTTTTCATACTCTGCAATTGAATGTATTGAATTTTTTCTACTGAGATATACAAGGTGAAAGAGACAAAGTCACGCGCACTCAAGACGAGAGCAAAAAAAAATCACTATCATTTGGTATAAGTGGGTGGCTTTTATGTTGAGATAAATTTATAATAAATGAATTTGACAAGCTGATAAATGTCAACGTGTTGCGACCAAAATAGGCAAAAGTATATCCGTTCTGATAGCGAACACATACACGGCTGCAAAAGAGAGATAGATATGTATATATTTTAGCTACGTTGCAGTCAATTACATGCCATTTGTATATCCGACTATCACAAACGTTTTCTGTCTTTGATTTACAACATGCACAGCCGCATAAATAATAAAATCAACTTCCATTATTCTCGGCGGTTTTGTTAACAGATGCTTATTGTGGCTGCTTGTGGAATAATTTTTTTTTCTCGTTCATTCAAACTTACCATCGTCATTATCCTTCGCATTGATTTCACCGATGTACGTTCCTTTCGGTGAATTTTCAGCCACTGTAAAACGATACTCTGACAGTGAAAAGTGCGGTTCGTTATCGTTTGCATTGACAATATCGACAATAATTTCAGCGGTGGATGTTAATTGCGGTAGTCCCGTATCCGTCACATACGCATTCACATAAATTTGCTTTATTGATTCATAATCGATGCGAGCTTTTGTTGTAATGATGCCTGCAAACAGAAATGAGAAAAGCACAACGATCAATTTACTTTGAAACTAATGCCCGGTATTTGAACACAATAACCAGCAAAAAATATAACGTTTTTCACTTCAGGAGAAATTAATTGTGCAAAATGTTGTGGTTGTGCGTGTGCATATAGCAACCAAATGGGATTCCACAGCTCAAGTGACTTGTAATGTGTTTAATGACAGCATTCGATGCTGTGCCTTTGCAAAAGCAGCCCCTCATTTTCTTTTTCATTCCATTCATGCGAAAAACCGACGTCATTCAGAATGATGAATGTGTTTATTACGCACCGTTTCTCTACGAAACGCACTACAATTCTCTCATTTATCAGACATATTACCTGTAAGGTTATTTATTTCAAGATAATCATTCGCCGACAGATGATATGCTTCGATATTTGAATCACTATCTGTTGCTTGAAGTTGCGTTAATTTTGTACCAATCGGCTGTTCTTCCAACATTTGATAGATGAGCTTCGGCGTTGATGGCGTCCATGGCAAAGCAAATACCTACAAAGCGATGTCAATAACATTATTTTACAAACATTACTCCAAAATGAAATTCCAAATTCCAAGTAAACTATTTTGAAAGCACAAATGAACCATTCGATTCCAAGAATTTATACTCAACCACACGAGTACACATATGGCTACAATGTTTGATTAAATTTTGTCCATAGAATTCTCATTCCATCATTATTTTGGATATTTATATTTAATTAAATTTTAATCCAACCGAAAATCATTCATTCCATAATTATACAGTACGATTATTTACTGTCTGACATTCTAAAATTGATAAGGTTATGAATAAGTCATTTTCCTTTAGTTCCCGTTTGGAAAAAAAGTGACTAAGTTACTATTGACTGTAAGTGACTATAGTTAGCTATATTCATGAATTTTAAAATGTTGTATGGAAAACAATCGACTATAGTTACTCAGTCAGTCAGGCGATTATTTTGGGACGTTTTGACTATCGGGTGACTATGATTATTGTCAACTATAGTTAGCTGTTGCAGTTAGCCATAGCTTACTTTAATTGATTGAAGTTAAATAAATTTAACTAAGGTTGCTTGTTTTTACAGTCAACAGTCAGTCAGTTTGTTCCAAAATAGTCAGTCACTTTTTTTGTACACTACGATTCATGGTATTAGTGTGTCTATTATTCACATAAAAACATGTATTCTTCTTACTGTAGCTCCGACTCTTTCGAATCATATGTCAAATAAACCAAAGCCCTCGAGTTTAAATTGTCATTTTTTATAAATATTTAATTAAAAATTTCGCTGGCTTTCTATTTGTTTTTTGTTTGCAGGGTAGAAAACCTGCCACATCGAAATTAAAAATACTGCCAAAATATGAAAGTATAATTAATATTTCCAAAAAAGTCGAAAACTGAGAGTATCTGTTGGCTATTGAGTTTTATTGAACCTATCCGTTTTTTACGGATTATAAACGCGAAAATGCCAATGAATTCTTTTCGTTACGATCGTTATAGTCCCATAAATAAAGGCTTCAATTGTTAAGCTATCGATTTTTTCAGGAACATAAATGCATTAATATTTGATCGGAATTTCAATGAATCATGATGGAACGTGCATTTACATTCAGAACACAGAATATCTGTTCTTTAAATGCGTTATGATAAATTTCACTATGATAAAATCAATATTTCGTACATGCGACAATGAATGACGATTATTTTTTTTTTTGGATCCGAATTGACAATTTAAGTTGATTTTTTTCATGTCTGATTCTAATTTGATTTAAAATTATAGCCAAAAAGAAAAAAAAAATGCACAGTCAAAAATGCACGTCACTCACCGGTGGCATTTCATTAACTTCGATTATGGTAATGATGAGTATCCCTTTGCCCTGCTGCAGTTCGGGTGCGGTGATGTCGGTTACAACAACCGTAAGACGAACGACAGCAAAGAAATCACGGTCCAATAAACCATTGACGGTGACATTTCCATATCGATCGACAGCAAATAAATGTTTGAATGTTTGCGAGTCGGTGACCTCTTTTCCATTTTTATTGACAGCTGTTATTGGTTCGGTCACTTCATACGTAAGAACATCATTTGATGCAACATCTGGATCATGAGCGACCAATTGATAAATTCGTTTACCAATCGGAGCATCTTCACGAACTTCAGCTCGTTGTGTGGCCGGAATGAAAAATGGATCTTTATCATTACTATTTATCAAATTAATCGAAACTGTTGCCGTTCCCGATAGACTTGGTATACCTGCAAAATGCCAATTTATTACCGTATTTGTTGAATCAATTCGAATAATACATCATACAAATATTTAATTTCACTTATTAAAATGCATAAATCATGCAAGAGCAACACAAGGCTATATAAATAGTTGATTCAATTAAAACTCAGAGAATCGAGATATTGTTTATGCAATTTTGTTGTATTCTATGCAATTTTAATGAGTTGATTATATAAATTCGATTACCCAAATCCGATGCGACCACTTCAATGCGATAGTTTTCCCGTTTGTCGTAGTCCAATTTTCGGGCGATTGATATTAATCCGGTTTGGTTGTCGATGGTGAAATCATCGAAACTCCCCTGTTGAATCCGGTACCTATCCGGGACATTCGTTACGCAATATAAAAAAAAAAACGTTAGTTGAAAAATGAAAATGCCTGCTCGCTGCAACAACGGACCAAAAAACCATAATACACGATGAGGTTTTTGGTTGTCATTTTAAACCAGTAAATGGATTATCAAATATCTATTTGGAGATTAAGTCACTAGTAAGAGATTTGCAGCGTGTCCAATGTCCATAACATTGCTTAATATGCAATTTGAATTTAGTAAACTATTTTAAGAGAATTAGATTATATAAGCACACTTGGTAATATCAATGAATAGCTCAGCACCATTTATCGGTTAAATCATTTAAATTATATTTTCCATCGCATCTCACTGGATAGATTCATTATTTTGGCCTGAATTCAAATTGTTTTGCATAATATGGACCAAACATAGTTGCAGGATATTTTCACAAAGTTCAAAGCGATAGCCAAACAACATGGTTTGTATAAAATTTTGAGATTTAAAAACTTATTTTCTGCTTGTACTGCTTCGGGTTATGCAATGTATTGACTTTGTAAGATTGAAGCAATCAACAAACATGATGTTTTCTCAAAGTGTTGATTTTTCAGTAAATTTCAGACTTTCTTCAAGGAAATATTTCATTCGAAGGCAATAAATGTTTCAAAGCTTTGTGAGAGCTTTGGCCAAATATCATAAAAAACAGGGCGTCCTATTCAAACTTTCAAATAGCACTTCCCGTATTCAAATTCATACAAACACATAAAATATCAAATGTAACAATTTCGGTCCCCTTGATTTTATCGTCCATTTATGTTAAGGAAACAAGTATACGAACTTGTCACTTTTGTTGTAGTTTACATATGTGACCGTGATACCGTTTCATGTATTAACTTGCTTGTTTTGCATCAGTACTGTGCGAACGGGGGTGATGGGGGAGTGGAGTTTACCACTCTGGTATTTGCACAATTCTGGAGTTTTACCATAGAATTTTACACGAATTGTAAATCATCCTCCCTAGAAATCTGACCTCGCACGCTACAGTTTTGGATATTTATTATGTTATGGTTGACGTTGACTTAATTTACTTTAAAATTAAACTTTAATCTTCATTGTGTATCAAACAATGTAATAAAATATATGCATAAAACATGTAACAGTAATAACTTACTGCTGATTAACACTTCATAAATTACATTATTATCTCTGATTGCTTCATATCACTTTCATAAGTGTATATTCATTGAACAATACCTTTCTCTCCCACTCCGTGTACGAGGAGTGAGTGAGGAAAAAAATTCGAAAAATAAAATCCACCTCGTAATCTCAATGCAAACTAAGTAAGTGTGAATAATAAAAAAAATCGATTTTCCTTACCGAATTTTCGCATTAATTCCAGTATCTAAATCGGTTGCCTCAACACGTTCCACAATAGTACCTGGAAAAAGAAACAAAAAACCGTATAAATCAAGTATCATTACCGATTACACTGAATGCGAGTTGATGTTGTGTTATATTTGAAAAACACAAACTTATTTGCTTGAAACGCGAATTTGTTTCGAGATAGGAAGCTGAAGAGCAGTCATTCCACAACCACACTGATTACAAAGTATTTTGTATTGACAGAAAGATTCGTGCGAGTAGAGAGGAATACAATTTTTTTTTCACTCGCAGCCATGTGAACGCAATTTTGTGGCAGTAATCGAAACTGACTGCCAGCCGGAATAAAAGAGAAAGATGTAGCAAAAAACCACTGCTTCGATCTGCGTAAAAACATACACTAAAATAGACGCATTGCACACTTACCGATTGCTGTGTTCTCTGCAATAGTTGCCATGTAATTGTCGCGAACGAATTTTGGTGCATGATTATTTACGTCGCGGATTGTTATATTTACATGGCAAACAGTGGAATATACGCCGTCATCAGCCTGTGAGTAAGCCAAGAGAAAAAACAAACCATATATGTGAAAAAAATAAAAAAAATGCTTGTTAACACGAAACATTGGCTGGGAAAATTGTGCAAATTACATTTTTACCAGCAGCTGCGTGTGCACTACGAGTGCAAACTCATTTTTGTTGGAATATGCGTAGAATGCATTTTTAATTGAAAAACACCGAGAAAATGTAATTTAATGTTTTCATTTGAAGTTATAACCCATATTTTTTCTGATGCAATAGTTTGTAAGCGTAGAAAAAAATTGTTTCACGGATATTTATCAATATGAAATTTCATTTTGCCATAACGTGAATTTCCCATAGTTAAAATGATTAGTTTTGGTAGGAAAATGAAACCAATACAAGCAGCAACCGTTTTTCATGTGAAAATTGTTTTTCGGTACCATTGGTCACGCAGAATGTTCGCTTTTTCAATTAATTGAAGTCGAAAGAATTCGCTTCGAATCATTTTCCATGAAATGTTTGAAATCAAATTTGTAAATTACCTCAACGCTGAAAAATATATTCTCCGAATTCAAATGGTTTACATCTAATGCGACCGTATCCTTGATGAACAATTGACCCGTATGTTTGTCGATAGTGAATAAATCGAGAACGTTGTCATTACCGCGAATCCTAAATTAAATTGACAACAATTGTTATTCTGGTGTATTGTTAAATGGATTTCAATCGCATTTGCGCTTAAATGTTCAATGGAAATGTTCGATGGTGTTTTTCAAATTTGTTTTTATTACCTGAAGCTAATGTCGGATATACTGTCTGCATCACGAACTTTAATGAATAGCGGCGGATCGAAGAAAATGGCACCTTCGTCAAGTGAAGCACGATAAAGCGCACTTTCGCACACTGGCGGCGAATCATTCGAATCGGTTAGCGTTATTCGCAATGAAACAACAGATGTTTGTCCAAGGCCGTTATCATCGGTGGCCTACACGATTCACATTTTATGGAATTACGCAAATGGAACCGAAATAAATCGCAAATGGAGCGTTAATTCAGACGAAAATAAAACCGTACAACTTGCTTGATTAAAATTAATGAATGCAATTCAACAAACCTTATACGTTAAAAAGTAGACCGGCTGCGTTTCATAATCTAAGCATGGTGCGTGCCCAGCACCCACATTAATTTCGTGTGCTGTCGTCGATGTGCTGTTTTGTTTTATTGTTTTTCTCGAGTGTTGTGCATCAATTCTGTTCAATTCATTTGAATGATTTTCATCGATTTCGTGCATTGTTTCGGATGCGGCAACGGTGGTGGTTGTGGTTTCTTCATCGCTGTCATCGCTCATTACCATGTAATCATCGTTTACGCTGAAAAACGGTCGAAATGTCACTTCTTCAACATTTCCATATGGATAATAGAGTTCAGTGGTACTGCTTGTCGCATCATCATCAACATCAATTACACCCGTTTCACCAACAATCGTTAAATTCACTTTTTTGGCATTTGTCAGTGGTTTGTTTATTTCACGCTTTTTGCGATGCAACTCCTTTTCGGTATTGTGACCATTTTGTGGATTTCGGCACTCGGCAACTGTTATTGCACCATTATTACTAACACGAAATAGCTCGGAACCAGCACCGGATAATGAATATCGAATACCATTTGTGCCAAATTGTGCCGAGTCCAAATCTTTGGCCGTTATAGTGCCAATCAAATGATTTACTGGTGCGGTTTCGCTTACTGCAAACGAATACGATTCTTGTTCAAAAATCGGTCGATTGTCATTTGCATCGGTAACGGTCACAGTCAATGTTGCTGTTGATGATAGTTTTTGTACGGTCTCTGTCTCCTCCGCAATTATCTTTAAATAAACAGAAATGTTGTTTTTTCAGTTTCAAAAATGCTCACCCTTTCGCGAATAAGAAAAAAAAAAGAAATGCTGTGGACGGGTAAAAACTTACCAAAACAATGAATTTTCGTTGATTGGGGTTCTCATAGTCTAATGTTCCATTTGCGATGCGAATGCTAACAGGTGAAGAGCCAGTCACAAACTTTGGTTCAACATCAAAAACACCAGACACGTCCTCCAATCGCAGACTAAATAATGAATTTTGACCCTGGCGAAAAAGATTTTTAGTTGACTTTGAACCAACGAAAACAACCAATTTAAAAGGAAAATAAATAATAAAATGAACAATTTCTTTACCACATCTGGATCGCGAACATTAATTTCAATTGGCAATGGTGTACCAATTGGTGTATTTTCAGCAAGGGAAATGAAATAGTTTTTCTTGTTGAACACCGGCGGCGAATCATTCACATCATGAATGGTAATTGATGCTTGTGTTATGGCAACGGTCGAATTATCATTGCTTGGTTGACCATCAACCAATTCACGGGCCTGTTTATGAAAGTAAAATGAACGAATATTTCAATTTGAAGTTGAAAATTATATTTAAATGATTTTTCAAGCTTAAATTACACACCCGAATAGTCAAAACAATGATGCCAGTTGCATCGGCCAATGCCTCACGATCAAGTGGACGGGCTGTGTGCAATTCTCCAGTTTTTGCATTCAACAAAAAGTAATCCATTGGATCTGCAATTGTACAATAAACATATACTTGATTTTTTTTTTGTCTTTTGGTGATTCAATTTGTGCCATCGTTTTTTTTCCGCATCACTGGCAAAAAGGTGATAGTCGATTTGTTGCTTACTCGTGAGTAAATCGTAGATGATTTTTCTTGGTTGTCCGTGATCACCGTCTTTTGCTTGAATGGTCATAACTAATGTGCCAATCGGACTGTCTTCATTGATGACAGCTGCTAATGAGCCTTGAAACACGGGCGGACGATTTTGAACATCCTTTACTCGAATTTCAACACCTGTACTCGCCGAATGAATTCCATCCTGTAAGCAAAACATGTTTGCAGAAAGAAAACAATTCAGAAAAAAAACTTTGTTGTTTACACACTTTGCTCTAGTCTCTACTAGCCAGACATGAAAAAAAATCGAAATAGAAATAAAATATATTTTCATCATACCCTGTAGAGCAAGCAAAAAATCGACATTTCATTCGAAATGTTTTTGCCCTACATGAGAGTTAGAAATAATTGGAGTGTGCGAAAGAGAAAGAGAGAGACCGACAGTGAACAAGTATTAAGATTACGACTAAGGGATAAAATGCCGTCGGTGAATGTGCATTCGATGAATGTGTGTAACCTTTGCATATCTTTCTCACATGTGCTTTTTATGATTATTGCTTTGAAACACAACTTTGTCGTGTGTATTGCAAAACGACCTCATTCCCAATGACAATAAAATTCCTGAACAGAATATGATAGAGGGTCGTTTTCTTCACTCTCTCTCTCCCTCTCATTTTTTGTGGCTCCGGGATTTTGCATCATTTTCCATAGAACGCAAAATACATCCAACAACGCATAAAGTTTGTTAGAACGTTTACGAATCTTCTTTCGTTTTTCAAACATTGTAATCATATAAGTCGCATATGACGAGACAGAGAACGGGAAAAAAAGAGTCGAAAAAAAGAAAGCATATCGACATTTATGGACACGTGTGTCTTAAATGGCATCCAGCAATATGTTGCGCAAGCATTCATTTCAATTCGGTTATGATGATGATGATGACGAGGGAACAAACGATTTATCTTATTTATAAACACGCTTTTCTGCATATGTCTTTCCTTCCTTCCCTTGTTTCGTTCCGATCCTTTTTCTTCGTTTCGAGAAAAAACAATAAATAAAAATGGTTGTCATTATAAAACATTCATACATAAAAAATCTTTCAACATTTCGAAAGATGTATGCGACGGATGATTGTTACAGAAAATGCGATGCATTCGCGATGGAAATCATTATATCAAAAGAGTGCATTTTACCGTTAGTTTCTTTTTTAATTCGAATCGAATCGCTTGAGTGCATTTACAAAATGAAATCGCTACTTTTTGCCACAAAGTGTCTTATTTCAAATACATTTTCTCTCGCTCTCAATTTTTGTAACCGTTATGAGTTTTTTGTTGTTGTTGTTGTCGGAGCGAATTAGGAAATTCCCTGACTGAAATGACGTTCAATTTTTGTATCTTTTTGGAATGTTACATAGCACGAAAAAAAAATACATAAAACTCATAGCGACATGGAATAGGTTGAGCAAACAGTGCATATAAAACTTTTTGATAATAAAAAAAATTGCTCAATTTACTATGCGAATAAAAGAATACTTTCCATGGCACAATTTGTCGAAGCGTTGTCGTTTTGTTCATTGTTTGTGAAAATGGACATAGGAAATGTTGCACTAGAGTCTCAATTTCAGAACAAAATAGTTAAAGCCCCCAAAATGCTTTGAGAAAAAAAATACCTATACACACAGTAATATGAACAAAAAAAGAGTGTACATCGTTGAAAACAATTTTTCAAATGTTCAAGCAAAGTTCATTTTCGCTTCAGAATACAATGGCCCGATATTTCCTTGGTGCTCTTCGAAATAATCAAAATAAAAAAAGCGTCGTTATTGCAAGTAAAATAAAAATAGAGTTGGAGAAATGTTTTCAACGGGGGACAAATAACGAAATTTGATATGCTTGTCGATTTGCACGTGCTTTTGATGTTGATGATGATGAAAATTCCTTTTGTGTCAACTTTTAATAGCTTTGAAACAAGCGTACAACACTGTATATAAGATAACAGAGAAAAACGTATTTGAAATATGTTTGCAAACATCATGACTCAAATATGGCAGCTTAATTTATTTCGTGTGACTGTTAGAAATAGCTTGACACTCAAATCACGAGAAAGCAGATCCAGTGAAATGATATTAAGTTAAAATATGACATAAATGCAATGTTTATATTTTTGCTTTGTACAACTTAACGAATTAGTTTTGCTGAACATTTTTTTATGAAGTATACAAACGTGCTGAAATTGTGCCAAAAAGTCACTCCAACAACAGTATCAAATGCGAATTTGTTCTGCAAGTATTTCAAGAAGGTTGTGAACGCTGTATGCGTTTGTGTCATTTGATTTTGTAGCAATGTTTATCTTTGTTTTAGGTGCCTTAAACATTTTCAAATAAACAAATATTCATTATAATTTAATGCCATGGCTCGATGCTTGCATTTTATGTATTGTCGAAAGAATTACTACTTGCATCACAATTTATTTAACTTATAAATAAGAAATGTGTGGTGTATTTGTGGGCGCATCGGCTTAGTTCTCGAATGCCACAGCATTTCCATCGTATAGCTTATGTATGAATGGATGTACGCTGCATTTTACGATCTTATGCATATTTGTTTAAGTAATGATACAACACATAAACACAGTTAACAAGTTTCATGAATCAAGAAACATCATCCAGATTGTATTTAACGACTTTGCTCTCTCTCGCCCTCCCTCGGGTAGTAAAAAAGGACACATTTTATTCATACGTATTTGGAATAGTACACTTTATAAATACTTAAAACTACTTCAAGAATAAATAAAGCACACCAATATTGTTTGGTTGTTATGCGACTCATTTCCAATTCTCAACTACTACGTTGAGCACATGTTTCGTTTTACCCTCTTTATGTCGCTTATTTTGAACATTTCTGGAATTCAAAATCACGAATCAACGTCAAAATGAATGAAAAAAAAATCAAAAATGAATATTTATGAAGATAGCTGCATTGAAATTTTATGTTACTAGCATTTGCCCATCAAAAGTTAGAAATAATCTCATTTTTTAAACCGAAAGTGCATTCGACAAAAAAAATCGTGCATTTTATGAGCTCGATTTCAAAGACTCAATTTGTAATGTAATTTAGTTCAATTGAATCATTTCGATGAAGTATTTCTCCGTTCTCTATCTCTATCAATTTTTTGTTCAATCTTTTTCATCGGCTGTTATCGACAAATCAAGCATAATAACTGGTACTATACTCACCGTTGCAGTCAGAATGAGATGATATATCATTTGCTCGTTATAATCCAATTTCTCTTTTAAAATAATGGCTGCTTTTAGTCGATCCTGATTGCTTTCAATCAATTCAATTGCAAATCTATGTTCGCATCAAGCGTACATCAAATATAAAATTGGATGAGAAAAAGAGATAGGAAGCGATGAGAATTAAATATCAAAACATTAGTTAAATTGAAAATTCACACACACACACACACACACCCAAATGCAATCCCAATGGAAAATGTGCAAGAGCGGAAAAAATGCGATAAAATTAAATTTCACAAAATATCCGGTCGCTTACGGACGGATGTGACTACAAAGGAAAAAAAAAAGAGAATCATCATTTTTTCCACACTGCGACGAATGCATCCATATTTGTGCAGTTATGAGCTGATGGGTGCGTGAGTGCATTGGTGCCGCAGTTCTTACTGCTGTGTCGATTTTTACTTACTTTGAGCATTGTTCATACGAGTCGGTAGCTGCTCTTGATGGCACCGTTGACGCTGATTGAGGTGATTTAATTAAAATTTTCTGTGGTGCGGTCAAACAGGTAATATTTAAATTTTCGCCAACTGTGTCTTTGTCCATTACAAGAATTGAATTAAATATCCTTGTTCCAGGTGTTGCGCTCTCCAAAACTTCAGTCTCATATGGCACCTAACACATACATAAATTATTTAACACCCAAAAAATAATAATATTCAATTTAAACACAGAATAATGTAACCAAGTGTAAAATTGTGTGTGTAATGTGTGCATATATGCACAGTGCTTCTGAAGTCAACATTAAAAATGGTTTGCGAAAGCATTGCACAAAATGATATTTTTAAAAACGAAATTTGCCTTTTTAAATACATCGTTGAATGTTTCATACAGAAGCCAGATGCAGCTCGAGTGAGAAAGCAAGGAAAATCTCAAAACCATTTTCATTTAATTTAATGAAGTTTCCGCCCGCTCTCTCCCTCTCTCTCTCTCATTTTTCCTCTCGCTAGCATTTTCGTTACAGATTCTTTACAGTTTATTTATGTCCTTTTTGAGGTAGTGTAATCCACTGTGGTGAATTTAAAACTTTCGGTCGGTTTTGTAAAGTAGTAAATGTGCATTGAATATATAATACCCAAATTGAAAATTTCTTTTGTGCATTTTATAATAAAATGCAGAAATGAAATAGAGAAAAATGGGAAAAAGAGAGAGAGAGAGAGGACGAGAGAGCGTACACTCATAAACACGCGAAAATTTCATTTATTTTCTACTTGAAAAAATAACTAACTCCATCCATAAAGATGTAGATTTCAGTTTCAATTTAGTCACACATACACAATGTTGTTGGCGAACGAGCGTGAAGTGAAAAAAAGTGGTTGCTACTTGGCACTCTCAGCCAAAAAGCGATGTGTTTATGAATTTAATTCATTTCACGTTAAAATCTCTTCTTTCATTTCCGGCAACCATAAAAATAACTGTAGCGACATGGTGTTGGTATTTAGTTAATTATAATAAAAAAAGAGCAGCATGAAATTGCGTTTCGATATGAATTTCAAGTGGATTACACTGGTTTAGGGCATATGTTTGACACTTAAACAATGAAAATGGCCAAAAAAAGAAATATGGACGGAGATAAACGAAGAATAATAAAATGAAAATGGATTACAACTTACATTTTGAAATTCTGGAACAACGTCGTTTTCATCTAAAACAATTACTTTAATTGGCACTTGAACTAAATTATCGTGTTCCGAGTCACCGCCAGATGCATTAACTCTATCTTTAATCGTAACGAGAAAGGATAATGTATCCTTGGTCTAATGACGGTAATCATCGAAATTGTGCGATGGTTCGAGACGACACGCGAATTCCATTTTATTTGTGTCCAAGTGGCCAAATGTCCATCGCAGAAGAATCCATGGATAAGGATAAGAAAATAAAGAGAGAGAAAAAAAACAAATTCAATGAAAACAGTGTTCTAATAAGTAGAAGAAATAAAATTTCGCCATTAAAGCGATTAAATCAAATGCAATTAAAATAAGCGACAGAGATTTTGGTTGGCGATTTAGTGGTTTTTTCGATTGCAGCTTAAACCTAATGAATGGAAAAACAGGTGTAAATGTTATCGTAACAATTATAACAGGGCTATAATATTAAAATTATATTCCTCATTCCCCCTCACCCTCTCAGCGAAACGTACGAAATCATCATTCAGGACATATAAATGTGTCACAAAATGTTGAATGACACCATTTGAACACAACATTTGTACGCGAGCACACACACACATACATACATTCGAAAGCAATTCAAAGATTTTATTTCTCGTAATATCACACGGATGTAATGTATATGTTGCCAAATGTATGTGTGTGTGTGTCTGTCTAGTATTCATCGCATTCACGATCGTACGTTACAATGTGCGAAACATTCGGTATATTCGTGATAATTTGAACGGCACACATAAATACATTCGGAAGCTTTTATGCATTCGTCTTGATGTGTTTGTTGTGCTCAAAGCGAGGAAATTGTTGTTAATGGTGTTAAAAGTTGTCGTTTATCGTAATTTAGACCGTAATTTTATTCACATTTTCATGACCTACATTTTACGAAAATTGTTATCGTGTCTGAATTGGATCGTCTTATCTGTAAATAGTTCAAGTGGAAACCATCGCGCATCATTCGAGAAAATGATGTACATTGTAGTTATTTGAAATGCAAGAAGCTTTACAGCCGGAATCTTTTCAAAAAAAATACCGCACATCCTTTGCTTTATGCTCGCTAATGGAATTCCATTTGAATAAGCACTAACCCACTCTATGTGGAATGTTTGAAAATATACCGATTTCATTTTAATTAAGGTACATCTTGGTGAAACTTTATTAAAATTCAACATGATGCATGAAATTCCAGCGCACAACCATCGGAGTTTGACAGAGCGGCAATTTGTGAACACGAACCCAAACGATTCGGCTCAAGCATGTAGACATCAATACTTGTCGCTTCATTAGCTAATTCCTATGCCATGTGCGCATACAAAAGCATACATTCTCATCCAATTCATTCATTAATATGCGCGTATGTGCGGCTTCAAGACTATTTACACAAACATCCTTACCTGCAGCACACATCCAATATCATTATTACTCAATTTGCAGGTGTATAAGTATACGATTCACATGGTTTATTTGAAATACGTTGCTGTGTGCATTTTATAGCATGTCTTATCGCTTGCAAATAAAAAGCGAACATCTACAATCAATTCCTTCTCATTTAACAGGTGAACATACACATCAAATGGTTCTTTCGAATAATCCTTTTGCATCACATGCCCAAAGTGTATTTTGAAAGCATCATGATTTTAAATACGTTCGGTGCTGCAATGCAATAACATAATGATTATTATGGCAATTGCAGTTTGCAAACGTTGGTCGTTGCATAATATGTGCAAAAAATGTACTTCAAACAAATTGGGATTTGTTCATAGTTTTTTTTTTTTTGCGTTAGTGTTACGGTGAGGAAGATGGCATTGCAATTGCACGGCTCATTGCAAACTGATCCAATTATAAAAAAGCTTTTAAGAAGCATTTTTTTGAAATGTATATATCACTACAGAGAATCAGTCAGTCGTATGTTAACGAACCCGATTCAAATTACCAATAAAACTGATTCTATTAAAATGTGATATGAAAGAGAGAAAAAAAGTGTTTGATAGCGCACCAGTCTGTAGTTGGTGTCGGACAATAAATAAATGCCGTCGAAGTAGATTTACGTACCTCCTTATAGCTAGACAACTATTTTATACAGAGCCAATGCTGTTGACACAAATGGCATTGCATTGGGAATATCGGGGAATATACACACAATCACTAGATAAACCATATGTGTCACACTTATATTTTGATTTCGTATAAATCACAACGATTTCAAATAAATGGATTTTTATGCGATGCGAATTCGCAATGGGAGAGATAACAACAATAACAACGCAAAAGAAACTCAAAAGAAGCTCAAAAGAAAAAAAACATTTTTTATATGGATAGAAACACATCTGAGGCAGATAAACTCTTCGCTGTGCTATAAGGAAAGAATCGAGAGAAAAACGAACGTGAATGACGATGGTGATGGTGATGGTGTTGACAAAGTCTTTATCTTCATGTGGTTTTCAAAAATGCAGACAACTACATAAAAATGCATTTAATTTTTTTCCTTCTCTCGATCTCATGTTACTTTCTTTTCACTTTCACATATATTTATTTATTTTTAATATCAGTTCAAGCGATTTGGATTCGCGAGAGATTGTGGCTTCAATGGTTTGCATACAACGATGACGAAAAGAAGAAGTGGAATGATAAAAATTAAGCGAAAATCTGGTATGGATTCTGTGTGGTAAGCGCAAAGCGAAGATTTTGATACTATACACACACACATGTGTGTGTGTGCCGAGAGATTTGCAAGCGCGTTTACAAAATTTAGTCTACCATAAAAACTGTTTTCAAGTCGCAACTTGTCGGATTGTTGGAAATGTTCAATGGATAGCGGATGCATGCGACGCCCATAAATCTTTTATAGTCATGTTCAATTTCATTGCACTTTACGAAGGTTCACCTGAGGGATTTCGCAGCGGCTATAATTTCGACACATTCACAGATGCAGATGCAGATGCAGATGCAGATACAGGCGCATACATTCATTCATATATCACGATCTGTAGATAACCGGAAAATGTAAAGAAAATGCATTGGCAGTTGTCGTGCTTGCAGCTTCGAATTTATGATTTATGACGATTGGAGAATGCAATGAATGTTTAACTGTCAAACTGTAACCGAGTTTTGGGGGAAATTGTCCTATGAGAGTGATATATATAGATGATGAAGATGGTTCATGGTTAGAGTGAGTAGTGGAAGATTGAACAAACCGATAATCTAGTTGCAATGTTAAACAATCATTTTCTTGGTGCCGAACAAATCCTCCTCTGATGAAGATGAATATTGAAGTTGGGAAACATTTTAAACACCAGTTTTGCATTTAAATTTATGTAAATGTAAGCTATGCAAGCCGAAAATTACCGGCTACCGACCACTCCCAAATGCACTTTTATTAGATTACTGACAATTTAATTGCCCTTAGCTCGGCACAGCCCATATATCAACGAGATTCCATTATGAAAATCATGACACACGATCGGACACAATGCAAATCACAACGAATGTTCAAAGTCGGTGATTTTTAATTTCTGCCATTTTTGGATTAAAGGATATAACAATGGAGTTTTATCTCGAATTTTATATACTGATTCGTGTAAATGAGGCGAAAAAAGGAACCGATCACACTTTGAACGAATTAGAAAATGATTTGAAATCCGAAATAACATCAGTATTCCATGCATTATTTAAATAAAAAAACGATTCCCATTTATTTCTAAGCTCCAGATTATGCTTGTTTCGTGTATAGCATGGACAGTGTACAGTCGCAACTAATTAATTTATGTTTTTTTTTCGCATCGATCTGATTTTACATTGGACTATTCGTTGCATTGTAATTGAACGTGTCCACTTCAAGACCGATTTTATCGAGCGCAAAAACAATGGGGGCCGAGTGGGAAAAAATGTTGTGCTGCGTAACCGGATTTCATTCCATTTCCTTGCACGAACATTCGGATGGCTTATGCAATCGGAGGAGAAAGCTTTTAGTTTCTGTACCAGCATCCAGACGATGGAGATAAAGTAAAAACAAGCGAACGAATGAACACGTACTCTTCCGATAAAGTTTCAGATTTGTTTGAAATTTTGTCATTTGCTAAAGGATAAAGAAAGGAAACGAAAAAAAAGCGAATGAAATCCAATGTTATTGTTAACTGCTTTTACGCGTTTTTTTTGTCAACTTATGCGAGAGAGAACTGCACTTTTTTCCGATGGAAAATGGTCATTGAATAACAAGCCAATTTGTTCTAAGAATTGGATGCAACATACTCTGTGGTTTTTATCTCATGAAAATTCGGTCTTTGTGTACGCTATCATTTATGCAATAAATTGTCTATTTCATACACGCTTTCATTCTTGTGTGATGCCCCATAGAGTGTGCTTTCGTTTTCATAATACACTTGAATATATGTGCGGCGCAAAAGAATGAAATGAAGAGAGAGAGAGAGCGAATCGTTCCATCCATTATTATAGTTTGTTCATTTCCATTGTGGTTTTCATTTCGCTTCTGTTGCCAAAAAAAAAATACATTGATTCTTTTGTTGTGGCCGCTTTTTTTGCACTCGATGTGGTTGGAATAACGACCGTTTCATTTCGACGCAAAAATAAACTTGTGAATTAAATACGGCCAATGGACCTGATTAAAATTGTAACCGAAAGACTGACACCAAAAAATAAAAATTGCACTTCGTGTTTTTTTTTTGTTTGGATGGTTTCGCATTTTTCGTATGCTATCATGGGACATCTCTGAAATGCATTTTCACATCGAATTAAATAAATTACGTTGGTCCCATAGAAATGGTGTGTGTGATTCGTATGTCTTGTGAATCATATGCAATATATGGCACACATGTGCATACGAGAAAACGAAAGAGGGTAACTCAATTTTCGAAACTTCATCATTCCGACAAACGAAACTAATTTACAATATAAAATGGCTGAGACGTGGCTATGCCACACTCTATTGCATTTGATCACGAATAAACTAATATACTTCCTTTATAAACAATTTCCATTGATTTATTTCGAAAGTTAAGTGTGTGTGTTTGTTTATATTGTTCGGGTGTCAGAGATTTGTAAGGGAAATTGCTGCATGAATTGTCAAGCGGTTAATC